CTCATAGTGTTCAAAGCCAGGCTGGATGGGGCTCTCAGTAACCCGCTCTAGTGGAAGGATCCCTACCCATGTCAGGGGATGGAACTAGATGATCTTTAATGTCCCTTCCAACCCAAACCATTCCATGATTCTAAGGAATTAATTCTAAGATTCATGAATCTAGGAACTTTGTTCTCTCAGTTAACTATTACTGAGGCAGAAATTCCCCAAATTAAATATACAATTAGTGACTCATACATACTTATTTTTAACCTATTGGTAACAGGCAAACAAAACATCCAAAGGAAAACTGGGATTGCATATTTAGCAAAAAGCATAATTTTACTTTTATATCAGCAGTTTCCACTAGTCATAGAAAAACCCCCTACAGTATTCTCCATGCCACAGGTCTCCATTAGTGGAGTAACACCACTTGCACGTGCTGGTGTGGTTGGTCACAAGCATGCAGGGTCTGAGTTAGCTTTCAGGCAGTAGTTACAGCCACGGGCTGGGATGAGTTCGGCCTCCCTTGCTCGCATGTTGGGGGAGAGTTCATGAAAGGCCGTTTGCTCCTGCCAAAGGTGAGGAGGTGCCACTGGTGGTCCCCTCTTGGCAGGGCAGGGCAAACCCATCATTCTGAACCAAAGAGATCAACAGTGAGGGATCCTGCAGCAAAACATGCAAGCAAAGGACTATCTGCAGTGAGTTCAATTGCATTCTTGTCTTCCTGGGTAGACTTAGAACAGCAGAGGACAAGTAAACCATCAGCATTTAGTGCAATGCCTTCCTCAGTGCAGCAATGCAACCACCTCGTTTGTAACAACAAAGGGCCTCAAATTGCACCAGGGAGGTTTAGATTGGATATTAGAGAAAATTTCTCCATGGAAAGGGTTCTCAAGCATTGGGACAGGCTGCCCAGGGAAGTAGTGGAATCACCATCCCTGGAGGCATTTAAAAGACATGTAGATGTGGCACTTAGGGACACAGTTTGATGGTGGACTTGGCAGTGCTGGGTTAATGGTTGGACCTGATCTTAGAGTTCTTTTCCAAACTAAATGATTCTATGAATCTATAACCAAAGGCAGAAAGGCTCCTAAACAGGCTGCTGGGACAGATAGGTCAGCACAGGCTGGAAGGAGCAGAAGTATGAAAATACCTCACCTAACATCCTGGCAGGGCAAAACTGCTTATGAAGGCTACAAAAAAAAACCCACCAAAACCCAAACCCAAAACTTTTAACCACTCTATACCATAGAACAACAGCAATACAACACCAAGAAAATCCCTTGCCAAGTGTAGTTGCGACGTCAAACACAGACATCAAACATGCCCACAGACACACAGGGGCCAAGATATTCACCATGGCACAGCCCTGCAAGTAAGGTGTGCATAATGATTTAGGAATGCTGTTTACACCAGTAAAGTTTACAGTAAGTATTTACTGGGCTAATTGCCCAGGTTTGTCAACAATCATAAGAAACATCCTCCTCCATGTAACCAGCACAGCCAGAAGGGCCATCGTGTTTCACGTGTATGTGTGACTGGTGTCCTGCCATGTCCCCTGGCCAGACTGGGAGCTGTCTTTGGGATGACAGGGCCCTGTCTGCTGGAGCAGAATCTTCACTTAAGCTTAACCCCCCAGCACACTTATTGTTGGGTTTAGCATGGATAACAGCCATAGGAAGCGCCAATGCAAGCCCCAGCCCTCTGCATGTCTGAGCCAGCTGCTTATGTCAAGGAATAGGCACAGGAGGGAACAGAGGCATCAAAATGGAACGAAAGGTTAAAAAACCCCAAGGGACCTGAGCCAGGTTTACCGCTGTAAAATCTCACACCGAACCACGCCAGGGAGCCTTGACGTGTGCCAACACTGGCTTATTCAAGCAGGCTGGATCCACTTTATAGGGAGCATGAGCAAAAACACCACCTCCCTCCACCTTGGATAACTCCACGCAGTCAGATGCAGAGTGCTGCTGCAGCAGGGCTAGAGACAGCCAGAGGGGACCACTTTAAATGCTCTCTTACTTCCTTAATTAGAGCAGCTCTTGATTTTTCTCTAGAGGAAAAGATATGAAGTGATGCCTACAGCTTGTTCAAGCACTAACATCCTGTACCCAAGCACAGCACTTCTCAAGAATATGTTACCAAGACTCACAGAACCCAAGAGAGACGCGCCTGTTGCCACCACAGGAGGCAGGAAATCACGCAGGGCAGATGATGGCACAGCCTGCATTTAAAAGGGAGAGATATGGGTTGCTGAAGAAAGCATTAGGGTTTTTCAATAAAAGTATAAAATTTACAGAGTCTTGCTTCAAGAAGTGATAACTCCAAAAGGAGGAGATGGGTATCGTGGGAAAACTACAACTTGTGGCACAGTTCTGTCAGAGAAACAAGATTCTGAGAAACAGATGGTGAAAAAAAACCAAACAAACTACCAAAAAGTTCAGATGTAAAAGAAGAGAAATAGTAAAAAGATAACTCTTACTGAAAAGAAAAAAAAAAAAGAGTACTTGAGCTGCAGGGAATACGAAACAACAGTGGTCTCTCAAGGCCTAGGTTTTTTGAGAGGATTTGGATGTTGGAAGCATTCACCCTATCTTTTACATGTTGCCTGCTAAAAATGGGAAGACAGCCACAGATGCAAAGTTTGTGGCTATCACAATGGCTAAAAACCACACTGTGCTTCAGTGCTGGGAGCACAACTACACCTGAATGGGAAAATGCAAATGGAACATCAGAGATGGCTCATTAAATGCTGCTGGCTGTCCTACCTTTATTACACTAGCTCTCTATTCTTCAAAGATTAATATATTTTACAAAATGGAATTTAAATGTTCTAGTCAACCTTTGGGTCAGATATAGCAAAGACCATGAACTTCTGGAGGAGTAATACATAGTAACACTAAACATTGTTTTTCCTGCCTTTTCTCAGCACTCTCTTACTTCGTTCCTGTGGACAGACTACCAGCTGCAATGGTTTTCTTTGTAGCATGTAGATTTAAGAACTCCAGAAGGGAACTGCTGATTATCGATATTTGCAAGGGTTGTAATTTCAATGTATGATTTTTTAATTAATATTTTGTGACTTATTGCACTAGTTCCACATCACTTTTAAATCACTACCAAGAGTGACAATTTTAATTAGATTTTTAAACATATACAAAACAGAGGGAGGCACCTGGGAGCCAAGCACACGGTATTTTTTTCCTATCAGGCTCCAGGCAATCACTTGGATTGAAATTATGCCAGCAAACGGAACACTACTGTGTACATACCTTAGATTTATCCTCAGTGAACTGGACTTGTTCATGTAATTATTCAGTGACCACTGATAGGGTGAAACCCCTGTGCAGAATGAAATTATCTCCTGAGTGACGCTGGTATTTCCTCTGACTGTAAAACATGACTATTTGACAGTTTGACTCCACAGGCTTTGGAGTTTATACAAGTGAAGGCTGGCCTGAGTCTGTGAAAGCCAACAGAACCTTCCTGGGATCCTGTGCAAAAATCTCAAGAAGACAGTAACAAAATAAAGAGCTGCTCCAAATGTCACCCCATAACTACACACAGCTCTTTTGCTTTCCTCCCCTGGTAGCTGGCAGCTGTGTGAACATTAGAAGGGTCCTATTTCAGGGCCACAGCTGAGACCCTCTGGAAAATAAGAGGAAGAGAACAAAAAGTCAGCAGGCTTTGCAAGTGGAGACAAAACTCAAAAGGAGAGAAAACTACCAATGAAAGCATTGGAAAATAACCACTACTGATGGCACAGGGTCACAGCATGAAGCTTAAGCTGTTGGACTGGCATTAAAAAGCACTGGCACAGAAATGACACAGCCCTAATCCGGTATTTGTGCTTCCTGATTCCACAAGAAATTAACCCAAAGCCATTATTCTCCAGGTGTACATTTTGGAATTGTATGTCAATATAACCTTCAAACACACTGAACAACAAACTAAATATATTTTGAAGGAAAATCAACACATTTCTCAAATATTTTATTTGTCTGCATAGTTTAAGGTTAAAGGTGATCAATAGCATTTAAGAGTGAAAAGAGCACCATGTTACTCTTCAGAGCCAACACAGCCCACTCTTTTTGTGTTCATACTTATTTTACACACTTTTTCCTCAGCTTCTGAAACTTCTGAACTTTTAACATTCTTGAGAACTGAATCTTATTATCACAAGAACAGGATAAAGTAGGTAGATGCAGAGGCAGCATTTCTGGAGTCCTTCACCCAACTGAACTTGTTAGATGAGTAATTGAGTGTATTTTCTTTTCAAAATAATCATTTACATGCACTAAGCAGCAGATCAACTCAGGGTGATGAGTTTAGCCAGGGTTAAGCTGTGAGTTTAAGTTTCTGCATTGCCTTTTTTTTTTTTTTTTAAACAAACCTACCAACAGTTGGCATTGGCACTCTGAAGTATTCTTAACAGCTGCTATGAGTACAATGACAGTACCTCATACTGAATATTCAGTCATCACCTGAATATTAATACCCAAGCATCTTATCATAGAAAGTAAAGCACAAGGCTTAAATGCCTATAAGCAGCTATGAGAAACAAGTGGCAGCTGTACATACTAAAAAATTCCAGGGGATGCCACAACAGGACAGTCACAGCACACACTTAGTGAGACACTGAAAAGCTTGGCATTATATTACAGATAATGGACTGAGATGTCATTCACCTCTCAGAACTGTAAAACAAGCTCCTTTAATCCTCTTCTCCTGAGGAGTGTCTGAATTGCTGAGGGCTGAACATATTTTCTCTTGGGAGCTGCAAAATTAGTCCAATTCCTGTATTTTGCAACAACATCATTGGTTGATGAAAAACGGAGTATCATCCTTTGTGTTATCTGTGGTTAAGTGGTGTGCTTTCAAGGATAACTTCTATGAACTACCAGTATCTATGAACAACAACAGTAAGGACTGTGATAGTCTAGAAAACATTCTTTGCAGTAGTTGAAGTGCAGTAAGAAAAGTGTGCATTTGTCTCACTGAGACACAGACTCCTGCTCTACATTTTTGCAAAGCAGGCATTTATTCCTTCAAATTATTTTCACACTGGACAAAAGAATTCAGTACAGGTTTTTTTTCCAGAGAAAAAACACATTGACAGGTGCAATCAAGTAGTATCTAAAGTGACATTTCATTCTTGTATCTCAAAAATACAACAATTTGTCTCAAAGTATTATTAATCAATTAACAAAAGAGGATGTACACCAAAATGCCTTGGTAGCTCAAGGTACTGTGTTCTCTCACTGACTGCACACAAGTCATTCCCTGAAACACCCAAACTTCTATCACAAGAAACTTTTTTTCCCTTTATCCACTGCATCTTTTCTTACATTGAATCACTGACAGAGGTGCAACTTACTGCATAAAATATTCAAACATATTCAGAACATGTTTGCAGCATGCAGCCAAGAATCTACAACAGCTGCCTGAAAAGCAATTTACTATGAACACAACAAACATGTTTGCTACATCTGCTACAGGCAGTTGGCTACATCCCTAAAACAGTTATTCTGCTACTCCAGAAAATTCTGAAATATGGTCTGTACAAGCTGTTGGAATAACACTGGTTTGTCAGGAATGCTGCTGATACTGTCAGTGTTGTTCAAGGCAAAGGGCTAGAAAGTGCTGGGAATTTTAGCTTGCAGTTGCAAATAGTAGGCTCCTCCCCTCTCTTTTTTTTTTACTTGAGAAGTGTTTTACTTACAAGCCCAAATGAGTCTATTTCCTGGAAGGCTGTAGGCTTGAACCTGAAGGCATCTCACAGGAGCACAAATACAGGGATGGAAAGAGTGTGCTGCAAAAATGACAATTTCTGTCATACAGAAAAATGACAGGATGGTTTTGCATCCTCTGAGAGTCCAAACCCAGTAAAGTGGAGAGCATTCCTTCATTTGGAGATGCAGTCAGGATATGGTTCACCTCAGACTTCAACTTGAAGTCTGTGATAATTAGTCACAAATCATCTTCACCCTGCATGTGGCCCAGATTCTGTAGCTATAGAACCAGAGAGATTATTTTTGACCCATATTAGGGTTACAAAGTTTATTAGTCTTGATGCAAATATTGATTTTGACATCAGCCAAATATTTTTCACTTTTGCTTAAGGCAGCAGCAAATTAAAAGCAGTCATTCCACCACTCACTACTAAAAATCTCAAGAAATATCAGAAAACATTGTGCTGTAATAAAAGATTGTTTGTTGTCATAGAACAAGGAGGAAGAAAACTACTCTCTTCTGATTCTTGTGTACAAATCATTTCTGTTCTATTAGCAAACGTAACAATGTAATAAAATTAATATAAAAACTAGAGATATAATATTTTCTTTGCCATAAATTGCTACATGCTCTTCAGTGACTGTAAGTGCTCTGATTATTCACTTAATCTCTTAAAATGCACTTTCTCTTACAGTTAAATATTATACCACTTTTTTCCCCAAAGCACAATACATAATAAATGGATAACAGTAAAGAATAATAAATAGAAAAGTCAGATAATAAACTCACTACTGCAAAAGAACAAATCTTGATCTCCTTTCTAAAATTATTCTTATGACCTATCAGTACAGTAGACTTGGTGGGAGAATCCAGCTTAGATTTACATGTATCTGTTCCGAATGTACTCTCTGTACATGAGGAAGTCATCTTTTCCCAGGGGCTGCATGTTTCCTCTTCCAGCCTGAATGTGCGCATGAAAAATCTCTATTGATTTCCTATCAGCTCTTGGAGGCTGGACTTCGTAAATATTGTCTTGAGAAAAGGAGGAGATTGGTATTCTGGAAAAAGACAAACATGCAGAATATTTAGAACTTTAGGTAAAAATTTTCCACAGAGGGAGAAGAGGATTTCCTTGCCTTGAAATATACATGAGAGAGTCAATGAAAGGGCAACTTCTCACTAGATAATTCATTCACCTAGATTTTTATTGCTACTGCAGACCTGGTAAGACCCAGCTTCCCAAGTAGGGTAATTAGGTAAGTTGTCACTAATCTCATTACGGAATACTTTCTCACTTCCCGCCACCCTGCCCTCATTTCTTCATCCTTCCTCAGATCTGCCACGGCCAGTAAGTACCCCAGCTGAAACAGATCTGTGCCATGCATTATGGCAGATAATAGAAAGACTTTACTGAGCTATCCACTTAGGAGCAATTACAACAAGCAAGTGATTATAGTCTGAACCAAAACAGAGAAAGGATTTATCAGGTCAGAAATTTCCACCTAATTATTGGGACACTAATATTGCTGACAATTCATTATCAGCAACAGCACTCAGATATTTTATGAAAATATTTTTAAATCATCTCCATACAGTAAATGCCATATTTGAATGCTAATATTTAAACCTCTCAGGAGAAACACACAAAGTTTGAAAGTTTACAAGAACTTGAGTTTGTCAGATCTTTTCTAAGCACTGTTGTCAGACTCACTCATGAGTGAGTAGAAGCTGTTTTTTCAACTGTTAGCTCTTGAAAACTGCATAGCCAGAAGGTCAAGCAGAGTGGTTGCTTCTCTCTATTCAAGGCTCAAGAGACCATACCAGGAGTACTGGGCCCACTTCGAGGCTCTCCAACACAGACAATGAAATACTTGGGTGAGTCCAGGAGAGGTCACCAACACAACTTGAGAGCTGGAGCACACGGCATATGAAGAGAGACTGCAAGTGCTGGGGTTGTTCAGCCAGGAGAACAGAAGCTAAAGGGGACTTATCGCCATCTGCAGCTACCCAGAGGAAAGGTGTCTATGTGGAGCCAGACTCTTCCTTGGAGTGTGTGATAAAGAGATAAATTCCCCAAAGAAAAGGCAAACTGCACCATGGGATGTTCCGATTAGATACAAGGGAACTTTTTCTACTCTGAAGGTTGTCAATCACTGATGTTGCTCAGAAAGGCTGTGGAACTTCTCTCCTTAAGGATATTCAACAGCCAAGTAAGTGTACGTAGCCCCAAGCAAGCTCATCTAATTTGGCCCCCCTCTGAGCAGGGGAGAAATGATGACCTCTAGAATGCTTTCCTGTTTCTAATATTCTATGGCTCTAAGCCAAACTCTTCAGCAGCAATGTGTTCTCCACAATGAACTCCACAACCAACTGCAAAGTAGCAACAGAACTATTTATACTCCATACATAATAAATGAATAAACACTAGAAGTATCTGTACAGTAAGTAACTTTAAAGCACTTCAGGTATTGTGAAAGCTGCATTTGTAAGTACAGTCTCTACATCTCCAGCAACACTTCATTAATTTATTTATAAAATACTGCCAGAGTTGAACAGTACAGATGTTTTACCTGTGTGATAGCATATCAGTTTGGATTACACAACAAAACATTCAATGACTGATATGTTGCTATCTGAAAGTAACCTATACATTAACTTTTCCCTCTGTCAATACTATTTGCTTTAAAGGAAATCAAAGTTTGAAACTAACTCCAAGAAAAAAAAAACCTGACCGAACTACGATTATCTACAACAGCTGATGCAATGCATCTAGAAAACACTAAACAGGAGAAATTATTTATTTCTCACTTATAAAGAAAAATTACACACACGTTTTAAAGAGTTCTCTAAAGCATCAGTTTCATGCATTTACAGTTCACATTTCAGCTGGAGAAGCTCGTTTCCGCATAGCTATATCCACTTTCTAGATAGCTATTAAAATACTTCTGCTTTATAAATTATATAAACAAAGCTGCCCTGGTATTCAGTACAACCCAAAGATTTCAATTCTGGAAATTCTGAACTCACTTTCCAACAACCACATACACTGAAAAATTTCCTGCATTTGATCATTCCTCACAGGTGGACCAAAAATTTCAATGGGCCCAGTAGTCGTCTCATGGAGTAACTAGCAGAAAGGTTTGAGGACAGACTGGTAAGACAGAACAGGTACTAACTAATCCCTTCTCTAGTATATCTTCCTGTATTTCAGCAATCAACAGAATCCTGTGGGAATAAGTTCCATGCCTTAATTGTGTCTGATGTGACACTCATTTCATTGTCATCACGGACTTGGGTTGCTTGTAATTCCTACCCTGGGAGAAACGGTGATCAGTCATTCTCTGCTTGCCTCCTCCACATCATTATCAGACAACCAAGTGTATTTACTCATACACTAGTTATTTTCTAACCAACCTTGTAACCTTGCCCTTAATGTAGAGCTCCAAGCTCTACAAAAACAGTGTTTAATACCTGAGATTTTTTAACTAGCTTTTCATTTGGCATCTATTATTTTGGATACTTAAGAAAATTTTTCTAAGTACTCTATGTAAGAGCATATTGGAGTAGTAGACAGTGCCAGTGGCTGAAAAAAAGTCAGAATGCTATTGTTAAATATTGTATTAGTGTATGCACATGTTTTTGGGCTCAGAACTTCCCAGGTAAAAAGTACAGTGGCAACTTACTGTCAAATCTCACTATTTCCAAATGCAAATGTTGACCAGCCCAATTGCAGCAGAGATTCAAATATTAGCATCACTGTCATATTTTACAGAGCTACAGTCATGATTCACTATCTGAGTGCTGTTCAAGAGACACGAAGTTATTTTGTGTCTTTTAAAGGGAAAAACAAGGAAGGCCTATAACACTTCAGCAGTGGCAAAGCCCTTCTATAAATGAAATGCCATAATAAACTTCTATTTGCATTATGAGCACAAACTCATATTTGACACTGTTTCTAAATCAGGATCTCCATTAAAAGTGCCAAAAAATCTTGTTCCCTTTTTTCGCCAGCCTTTTATTTTATTAAAATATGTTGTATTTTGGATGTTTCATCAGATGACAGTTCATTAGTCCTAAAAAATGACTGCAGTGTGCCATGTAGTACAGTATGCCTAATATTCCACTACAACTGGAACATGGCATACCAAATAAAATGGTTTCCAGATTAAAGTAATAGTTTTCAATTTAATATTTCAGCTTTGCATAGCTATACATTCATTTGATTATATTTTGACTGCAATGATAGAATTACATATACAAGAATACTATTGGACTTGATTCAATAAAATCACCAGTCACCCACAGAGTTTGGCTGCATACTTAAAACTTCAATTTTTTTTTCTCAACAAGGTGCTAGTTTTTTCTCATTATCACTTCTAGTTTACTTAAAGTAGGTGCTTTCAGTACTGGTAAAAAATAGTAGTCTATCTAACTTCATATCTAGATGCTTTAAGAGTAGATTGCTTTTCAAAGCATCCATTGTTTCTGCAGGTACTTATTTAACTAGTGTAATGCATCCAAGCTGAGACTGCAGCAATGGTATTTGACACTAGCACACTGTACTAACTTACCAGTGCAACTTACCAAAAGATGTCACTTACCCAAATGTAGCTGGCCTGTCTAGTCCACTAGCAAGTGGACAATTAAATAAAAGAACAAAACAGAGCCGTAACACTAATTTGATGCCTTTTCTATTTATTGATTGGTTTCTAAAGACATGACATTTCTGAAGCACTAATGAATCAAAAGTCCTTTCCTTAAGCACAAAGGAAGCTGGGCAGCAAAGTGCATTTAATTTTGAGCATTTAGTAACTAAACCTCAATTTTACACCTACTTGCTTCAACATGATAAAAATATATTGAAAGAACTGCATGTTCATGCATGACAATTTTGATTAATAACCCTGTATTAAGCTGTAACTATTTGTAGAGTGCTTGTATTATCCAGTAATTTAATTAAAAGTCATTTCTCTAACACTATTCACGTAAAAATCTATTCTACTTAATAAGTTTAACATCTTAGAATAGTTACGAAGGAGACCACATTATATATGACTTGGCTATCAGATTTCCCTAGAGACCTAGAGCTTTGTGGCCTCCCTGTGAAAATTACACAGATAGGAACATAAATGCTATGTCATGAAGGACAGCTCCCTTGACATGCAACTTTCCGTTATTTTCATTCCACTTGTAAGCATGTTTGCTTCACAGTGTTATGTGTTCACCAAGAGTACCATTGTCTCTAAAGCAGAAGATGACACAGTTAAAATCTCCAATTACAATGAGGACAATCCATACTCTGAAAAAAAAGTGCATGGTGATGTACTTAGCTCTCAGAAAAATAGAGGTCACCAGAAAGCCACCTTTGTTTCAACATTGATTAATTCTCCTCAAGTCTCTAAAGTGTATCTAAAGAAGGAAACAAAATGCACTCTTTTGCCTTGTTTGAATCTTAAGCAAATATCCTTGAAAATGAACAGAGGCTGGAGCACCTCTCCTATGAAGACAGGCTGAGAGAGTTGGGGTTCTTCAACCTGGAGAAGAGAAGGTTCTGAGGAGACCTTACAACAGCCTTCCAGTAACTAAAGGGGGATGCAAGAGAGCTGGAGAGGGACTTTTTACAAGGGCATGTAGTGAAACGACAAGGGGTAGTGGCTTTAAACTAAAGGAGGGTGGGTTTAGATGAGACATTAGGAAGACATTCTTTACTGTGAGTGCAGTGAGGAACTGAAACTGGTTGCCCAGAGAAAATGCAGATGCCCCATACCCAGAAGTGTTCAAGACCAGGTTGGATGGGGCTTTGAGTAATCTGGTCCAGTGGAAGGTGACCCTGCCTAGGGTAGGGGGGCTTGGAACTAGATGGTCTTCAAGGTCCCTTCCAACCCAAAGCATTCTAGGATGCTATGATATCTCACTTACAAAACTCTGGCAAATCCAGAGAGGTTGCTTTTTAGTTTTTTTTGGATTTTTTTTTCCATAAATGGTATCCCTTTAAATTGCTTGCTGTGTTCCTGAAAGAGCCTTCAACAGAATTTTCCTTCCTTAGACACCAACACCTCCATACAACAGAGTTTCAGTCACATTCTTTGTGAATGGAGAGGACTGAAAAACAGAAAACTTCTTCCATGCCCAATAATACTGCAACTTGTATCTTGCAGAACCAAGCAGGAGCAAAAACTGGACTGCATCCAGGTCCCACAACAATTACCTGGAATTCTAAAGGTATGTACAATTTCAAGGGTTAGAGAAACAAGAGATTCTCCTTACACAGGTATGCATTTAAATAAGCATTTTACAATCCAAATTAGAAGCAGCTTCTTTACAGTGCAGACAGAAGGAATGTGAGAAAAGGAAAGAACATCTGATACAGAAAGATGATATCCAAGAAAAGATAAATCTTTTAAGTAGAATGGTTTACACTGACCACAAGCTAATTCAAAATTTAAAGATCAAACACACAAAGGAACCTAAAGATAGGACAGGAAAAACAAGTATAAAAAGAACTCACAATTAAAAACAAACAAGCAAACAAAATGAAAGAGGAATATTGTGTTTCTTTCAGGAAAAGCTTAGACTTACTTTTTCAAATAGATTAATTGAGGAAGACAGTTACCTTAAACTGATGAATAGAAATTTACCACATCACAGAGAAGACAGAGGGACATGCTAAAGAAGGCTCAGAGAATTGTCACTAGAATGTCTAAAAGCAGATGGGATAAGGTGGCACCACTTTCAGTACTTTCTGTTTTTTTGCTAGAGACTGTCAATACAACAGAATCCCAAATTCAACAACACCATAATATCCTATGTAGGAACAACTACATTTTGTGCCATATTTCAAACAAATTTGTTACTGTCATACTTTTAGAGGATATGATTTCAATGTTGTGGACATATAGGATCCAAATGAGACTTCTAAGGCAAAAGAAAGAACACCAGCCCACTAACCCCAAAACAGAACCACAGATTCACAGAATCTGCTGAATTGGAAGAGACCTATCAAGATCATTGAGTCCAACTCCTGGTCCTGCACAGGACACCCCCAAGAGTCACACTGTGAGCCTGAGGGCATTGTCCAAATGCTTCTTGGACTCTGACAGGCTTGGTGCTGTGACCACTTCCTTGGGGAGCCTGCTGCAGTGTTTAACCAGCCTCAGGTTGAAAAACTTTTCCCTGATATCAAACCTAAACCTTCCCTGACTCAGCTTCATGCCCTTTCCTCGAGTACTGTCACTGGTCACAAGCAAAGAGATCAGTGCCTGCCCCTCCACTTCCCCTTATGAGGAAGCTGTAGACTGCAATGAGGTCTTGCCTCAGTTTCTTCTCAAGGCTGAACAAATCAAGTGACCTCAGCTGCTCCTCATACAGCTCCCCCTGCAGATCCAAAGCTGCACACAGTATTCAAGGTGAGGCCACACCAGTGCAGAGCAGAGCGGGACAATCCCTTCCCTCAACCAGCTGGTGATGCTTTGCTGGATGCACCCCTGGACATGGTTGGCCCTCCTGGCTGCCAGGGCACTGCTGACTTCAACTAGACATTGACCAGGACCCCCAGGTACCTTTCCACAGCGCTGCTCTCCAGCCTCTCATTCTCTAGTCTTTACACACAACCATTGCCCCATCCCAGGTGCAGAATCCAGCATTTTCCCTTGTTAAACTTCATACAGTTGGTGACTGCCCATCTCTCGAATTTGTTGAGGGCTCTCTGCAGGTCCTTTCTGCCCCTGAGGGAGTCGACAGCTCCTCCCAGTTTAGTGTTGTTGGCAAAGTTACTTAGTATTTGAGTATTTGAGTCCTGTATCCAAGTCATTGCTGAAGATGCTGATCTGACAAAGGACTGTATAGGAAGAAGGTGCTCTATTGAAGAGCAGAATATGGTTGTTTGATTGGTTGTTTTTCTTTTTGTTGTTGGTTTTGGTTTTTTTTGGTTTGTTTTGGTTGTTAGTTTGTTTTTTTTTTTTAAGGAAACCCTGACTGCCACCTTATCAGGAGAAGACAGTTAAGATTAGTGTAAACAGATGACAGAAGGCAAACAATTTATTCACCTATAGTTTCCAAGAATATTCATAAGAAGTCCCCATTTTGTTAATAAACACTTTAATTGAAGTTTATCTAACTTTCTGATGTGAATAAACATACTAGGGTGCGTACTGGAAGCAGAGAGCATGCAAAAAACCTCCATTTCGAAGTCAATTGCTGATTAATTATGATGCCTTTTGGTTCACTACTTCCACAGCAGTGTCAAGAAGCCATTTAGATATGCAGAGGTTTAATGTAAGAAAATAAATATACTTAACACTCAAACATCTTTTATTCATTTACTTCTCTTGTTCAACATAAGAAACCCCCCAAGAAATCCTAGGATATGAACACCTGAAAAGATGACAAGTTCAGTACCAACCTTTTCTCTACAGCAGTTATAAGTAATAATGACTTATTTATAAATATAAAGCTATTTTTTACGTAATCCTCTAAGAAATATCCCTTACACTAACAAAGTCATATGAAGTACTGAATGAGCAAGAAAACTGCTCTAAACTGAGGTAACAGTTTTCATAAGTAGTTAGGATTGTAAAACCCTTCATTAGAATGATTAAATATAACACTTTATTTTTACTTTTCTATTTTAAGGTTGTATTATAGACTAAAATACCCCAGTAGAGCATTTAATTTGTACAGGTTACGCTTAGTTCAGGCACTGAAGACAGCACAGACCCTGACATATGCACATGCACCACCTGCTCTTCTATTATAAGGACATTCAGACATGTCCACACTCTTCTTTTGTGCTGCAGTGAATCAAAACACTCAATTCCCTGTTCAGCAGGGAATAAAATTTCTTGTACTCCCAGATAAATGCGTGAAGTACATTTGAAAAGGTTTTGAGAGTATATTTTTACAATAGTATTATTTATATCACACCACAATGAGTACTGGGGAATTAGGAACAGGTGCATTGTGTCAGCCCACAGTAATTATACTCCAGTACTCAAAGTATCTCTTCACATACAGTATAATAGATTGTGCTAATAGTAGTCCAGCTCTGCTTAGTTCTATTTAGCTCTAAGTAAAATTCTACCTTTTTATCTTCATAGAATTTCTAAGAACAAAAAGAAGAATTTCAATATCCTTCCACTCAACTTCAGGATTATTTAACTGCACCACTGCAGTCCCTGTTCAAGTATCCACTTTTTATTTCTAGTCTCTACTTACAGTTTCTAAATTTAGTCCAGAACTTTCTCTTCAGCCTTTCTACAATTCATATCTGAGTTCATAGATTTCACTGAAGTGACACTATAAAAATAGGAAGTATTTATTTTTGTATTGACTTCATCCGTTTGATAAAAATGGCCAAGTGTTTTAAGGTTGTGAAGTGTGGGGTTATTCAAAAAGATTTTTCTTGGAAAGTGTGGAAATGTCAGCAACTAACCTAAGCCTAAATTATATCTCACAGTTGATAAGAAACCAAAGTTTTAGACTGAGTACTTCATTTTACCATGAAAAGAACAGGGGTTTAATTGCATTTGCATCTAGAAGGAACTACTGGAGCATTAAATTTGCCATATTTTTTTCAATTTAAAATGCACTCAGCATCAAATTAATACAAGTTACCATAATTTTTCAATTTCTTCAAGAGTTCCTTGCGAAACAAGTGCAGAATGTGTCTCAGCTGCTGTTACTGAAAATCCTCCCTCTCTCCCTAATCTTAGTTCATTCTATTTTATCTCTAAAAAGTTAGTATTCTCAAAGGAAATTCCTGATTCAGAGGAGCAATTCCACCTCCGTAAGAGAAAGCTTCCTTGTTTCAGAATTGAATAACATGCCTTTAAAGAAGGGCTACATTTATGACTTTTACTGAAAGAATAATCTGTCACCATCCAAAAAGTATTTAAACATTTTTAAAAAGTTACAGAACAGAAACCAAAGGAAATTTTTAAGTTGTATAAAAATAAACTTTCAGAAAAAAGAAATTACCAACTATAAGATACCCTATTTCCTCTCAGATCTGCACAGAGGAGCATATTTGGTAGAACTGGCAGAGAAAGATGATCTACATGACTACCAGAGAAGGAGTGACAGCAGGCACAGATTTGTGTGCTCTGTGACTTTTACACTTCTACTATTCAGAAATACAGTGAAAATACACTTGGGAAAAGAAAAAACTTAGTATCTGACTATCAAAAGCCTCCAGAATTCTGTGTATAGATTCTCTTTAATGTGTTTATTTTGCAGCAACAAAGCATGGAGGGAAAATTTACCCTACTTTTGAAGGGTTAAGAAAGGAATTATTACCTCCTACACTGTCTAACATGCCAGAAGATTTTGCAATCAAAAAAAAAGAAACTGCCTGTTGGATAAAAGATCATGTACCCCAGAGACAAAAGTAAATAAAAATCTGCATTGCCTTGGTGAAACTTTAAGCTGCCTATAGTACAGGAAGCTGTCAACTGGGAAGTTAGGACTTCATCATCTAAACTCTTAAGACCTGCTTCACTAATAGTATAACACTTGGATAATATCATGACCCTTTTTTTTTTTTACTAATACTAAGAAGATTCAAGTGCAACTTTGAATGTTTTTTAATGAAGAATATGCAAACAGTCTTTCAAACTGTCTCTTTCGAAAGTAATCACAGCAAGAAGAAATTGCCTTATAAACTCAGTAGCTTCAGCGCTTTGTGTTAACTCAGGATTTTTAAGAGTTTTGAATACAAAATCCCTGATACTACCAAAACTAAAAATCAAAAAGCAACAGCCCCCAGAAGAGCACAAACAAAAAACAATCCCCCAAACCAACCAAAAAACCCACCCAGTTCTTCATGCTGTGCATTGAATCCCTTTATGCAGTAAAAAAAAAGGAAGTGTGACTCTCAAACAATTTAGCACCAAATTTACCTGATATTTTTTCATGTCTAATGACAAAAGCAAAATCAGGCTAAAGGGATAAAGAAGAATAATACTTACAAATTTATAACCCCATCCAAGTGGTGTTTTGAGGAAAATTGCTGGCTGCCCTTGTCTTGCTTATGCTGACTCTGTCCAAGCTGAACAAACCTGTGAAAAGCAGTAGATGGAAAAATAAATCAAAGAGATAAAGGAACTATCATAAAAAAATTCATCAAATGAAAGAAACTAACACTAAAAAAAGAGGTTTTGAGTTGCGTTACAAAATGCACCAATCATGACGTACTTCTCTGGTGAAGAAGAGGGATTTTTAAAAGTTCACAGTGGGTGCATGTGTGAACTCAGAACCTCCTTTGAAAACAGACTTGCTTATCAATTGGTGTCATCAGGTATGCCATGGGATAGAAACAGGCCTTCCTGAAGAAATAGAAATAGCCCTCTACAGTCAACTTTCTATGTCTTTTTCAGAACAATCATTTAGATGAAATCAGGAAAACAGATAAAGTCTCTCATGTTTCAGATTTAAGTTAGTCCTCTGCCAAATTCAAGTCAGTTTATTCATTTGAAATGCTGTTAGTCCAGATCACTTATTTACAAGCACAATCTTTTGGGACAATTCCCCCATCTTCAAATATTTGCTGGAAGACATTGCCAAAGACAAATACTGTCATGGCTTTTTTTCATGGCAACGAAGTGGAGCAAAGTATTACAAAAAGTAGTTTATCACTAAAAAAAGTCAGAGGGTTTCAAATATTTCTTGCACTAAATTTGTTCACTCTCCAACACATTTGTGTGACGGAAAAGTAAATGTTAGTTATGATTTAATACTTTAATTTTCTGAGGCAAAAGGTTTTTCTTAATAGTTGGCTTCCATTTAACTTTAAAAATCTCACTGGTCTATTTCAACAATATTTACTACATTTTAATAAGCAACAACTACCAGTGTAAAATCAACAGCATGAAAGAGTGTACAGAAGTCAAATGAGCAATAAATTTCTAAACAACTTATTGCAGCTTTTCTTTCTGCTCCATTCAGATTCTATACTGTAGAAAAAAAAGCCTCAGAAACACACAACATCACTTTGGATGTTGAAGGGATAAATACTTACATTTCTAAATAAGAGAATTATAAGTGGAAATCAAGATAATTAAGATCTTCTAGTGCAGGAGCTTGCTATTGAAACCAGCTTAAAAAGCAAAAACCAAAGGCAAACTGATGGCATAAGTATTTTAATTAATTGCTTTAAATTACTCAATACTTTGAAACAAGCAAGACCTAAATGTACACAAGCAAGTTACCAGATATCAGTGAGATAACATGCACAGTTGATATGCAGCATACATCCTCAAATTATTTTAGGGACCTCCTGTCCCTTCCCACCTCAACCAACCTGTGCTTCTGTGATTTGTTTTGAAGAGAATTAAGTTATCTCAGCCATCAGTGAAAAGGGGCTGAATAGATTCAAATTACTTTTAATCTGCATTTGCAAATAGGCTTATAATACAGATCAGTTGATGTAAAGTAACCTAAAGTCCTTTAAATCTGCAAGATCCTAATATTAATAAAGAAAAAAACCCATGTAACATGTCCAAGGATATCATGTAAAGTCAGGATCCTACATCTCCATTTCCCTTATTACAATAGCACAAAAAAAGCTCAGTGTGATAACTGTAATCATACTGTGAGAGAAATTGCTGCTATTCTCAAGCGATGTACACTTTGGAAAGTATAGATTTTACTGACATCCTTTATCACATAAATCAGCACATCAGACCAGAAATAGCACAATGTCTTGTTAGCTAAAAGAGGTAAGGAATTTGTAATTGTTTTATTTTTAAAACCTGCATTCATAGCTTAAAGGAAATTAAATGCAAGCTTTTTTTTTTTTTTTGGTCTTAAAAAAATATGAATAGGGAGCTTCAAAGCCCCCATGGGGTTTATAGTGTTACAGTTACAATAGACTGAATGCTAGTCCAGTCTGAAAAATTATAAAATGGGAAGTAGTTGCAATTCTGGATGTTATCACGGAGTTGTTCATCTACACAGAGGGACTCAGAGTAGACACCAGCTTGCACTGGGCCATTTGCAGAACCGCAGTAATTATCTGCTATATCACAGGAAAATTGGCAAATTTGCACTCATTTTCTAGTGGTTCAAATAAAAAACTAAAGTTAGAGGCATAGGTGAAGTTAAAAATTTCAGAGATAATGAGAAACATCCTCTTCAGCCCTATTCAAGTGTTCTATCTTCAAATTACTCAGCATTTAGGAAATAGGTTGAAATGGGAATTTCAAAGAAATAAAGACTGCAAGAGAAGTAGCTACCCCTAAAGAAAAATTAACTGAAAAAGACTTTTAAATAATAATAAAAAAATATTTCAGGGGATTAACGAACTAAATCAGGATGAAACATCACATATCACCAGATGAGAAGATTGTATAGTGAATTAAAATTCACCTCAAAAATTGAAAAGGTTTCAAATATAACAATGTAGTCCCTGGTATTACATATTAGAAAATAAACAGAAGTGCACACAAAGCCATTTCAATGCATGTTTCACAAGTATTTACTTCAATATATGCACAGTGTTTTTCTGAGATGACTGTGGATTTCTGTAGATTTCTTACATCTCTTTTTTCAAACATCATTAATTCTACATCTTAAGCAGGTGTTTGAAACATTAGTTTATTAAGCAAATGTCATTGATCTGCACTCCTGATGTCTTGCATAAGCAATGCTCACTTGACAACAGTGTTACAAAACTTTAGGGACTAAGAGGGTCTTCAATTTGTATCTAAATTTCTCCAACCAATCTCCAGTACTTAATTCCCATTATTCTGACTAGTTTTCGAAGAAAAACACTGCAGTTCAGGAAAGAATCTCCTCCACCATGGAACTGAGTAAATGACATTTTGGCTCGGTTCTAGTTTATCTGTAGCTTGTATTATTCTAGCTCACTTTTGGTCCGAATTAAAAAAAAATTCAAAATGTTCAAATTAATTTTCTGGTTTAAGAAAAAACGAAAATTTGAACCAGTTTCTTTTTGGCTTTAATGTTACTGTGTGATATTGAGGAGAGTATGTGAGAAAAATAGTGTAACTACACAGTTTTTAACAAGAGCAACATGTAGCCAGTGCTTTCTATGAGGTAATGGCAATTCAGAAACAGCATTCCTGATACAATGCCTTTTGTTGGTGATGCGTATCATTAATCTGCTGATTGCTCTTGGGGAGCAGATAGTTCATGGCTCCTGCAGGAACAGTTACAACTGTCTTCTAGAGGAGAAGAGTCCAAGTCACTTCAAACTCAGAAGACCAAGATGTTTCAAGATAAAAAGCTAAATATTATTCAGAAAAGCGATTTTCCTTCAAAAGTCACAAACTATTTCCTTCCAAAAGTCACACAACTATTTAAATTTGAGTAAAAGGTAACAGTTAACACATATCTCTATGAGTAAGACATTATGTTAAAAAAGGAACAACTTCTATTGTTTTGTATGCACTTTTACAGAATAAGCTATTTCACTTATGACTGATTTGAATTAGTGTAATTCAACATTTGAAAAATGCAAAAGCCACAGACTACAAAGCTTACAATAATGGGACCGCTTCTATGGAACTTACTCAACTTCCACTGAAATCAGAGTAGACACAGACATCTGAAAACAGTTTCATTTTAAAAAGAGAATAGTACATATACCCAAATATCTCTAAAATTTATAGTTTACGTAAGTTTGATCAAAGGCAGCACTTTGACAGACTGCATTTAACTACCTCAAATAATTTTTTACTGATTACTACTGAAAAGTTATCTCACCTAGTATATATTGCGAGATCATCTTCTGAAGGAATATCTGAAAGAATGACTCCATACACATCTTTTGTTGATTGCTCTACATTCTGGAACATAAGAAGAAAGATTCAAACTGAGAATACTGTAACAACATGCAAAGAAAAGTTTGCTTATAAGCACACAACTCTTTCTAAATTTAAAAATAATTTCAAAAGCACACAAAACCAAATAAGTTTCTTATACAAACAGTAATCTTAGCTTCTGCATATTTATATATTAAAAATTTTAATCAACACATAAAGAATTCTTGAAAGATAACATCAGATAAAACAACATACTAGGAGAATAAATTATATTCCTTGAACATAATGATGCAGTTATTAAATTCTGTTCTGTGTTGAAACTTAATATAGAATAAATCATATTCGTTCAGAACATGCTCCCACATTTGCTTTCACAGTTCCTGCTGTCAATTCTGAAATAATTACAAACCTCAGGTTGAACAAAACTATTTCTATTTTATACATTACGCAATCATGTCAGTCAACTATAACAAGGGATCAATGCACCTTCAATACTGCACTTTGTCTAATGATTCAGTGCTAAACTGAGGGGGTTTACTGACAAGTCACATATGACTGCAAGTCAACTATAAAGACAGTTTTCTTTTAGTTCAAAAAGATCCAAAGTCAAAGAACTTCAGAAAAATATGGGCTCACCGGAAGTGTAAATGCATTTTGTTATTAACTTCTCAGAGATGTGGATAGGAACTAGCTGTTTGGGTTCCCCAAATAATAATGAACAGCATGCAAATTGTGACTAAAACTCAATGCATGAAAAGATACTAATAAATTGGAATATATTTCTTCACATGCATTACTAAAAAATCAAAATAACTCACTGAATCGAAATTCAATAATATTTTAAATCATATTTTGTGTTTACATACATTTTTCATTTAAGCGTCTTAGACACCTAAAAAAGTTACCTTAAATCTGAATGTTAAAGTGTGTTCAAAACAGAGGGGCAAAATAACATGAAATAAATTGTGCAATACTAGGAACCAAGAGTAAAATTTAAGGTTGGATTTCTGTTTAAAAAAATCTATAAACAGTCTGATTTGCTGGACAACAGGTACTCCACTATTCAGAGGTAATGGAAAACTTTCAGATAAAATATCTTGCATAAATAGAAATAAATGCACTTGTATTGGCTTAATCCAAATTGTCCAAAGTTAACACCACATAAATTCACAGTTATTTTATTGAAAGTGCTTTGTTATGGTTAGGAAGAAGGCACTGTTGTACAGAAGGCTGAAAATCCATTATGTGAGAACATACAACCCTAGGCTAAGGACTGAACAGAACGAAAATCTGCATTGTGGAAAAAACCCAAAACCCTGCAGTTTTATTGTCCGTTGCCTATCAGGTACTACATTTTATACTGACTAAGGTCATAAATACTCAATTTTCTTCAAAAGTGGTAACGTGTACAAGGAGAACACCTTAACCATTTAAATTAGCTGTGATTACAAAAAATACAACACCCTCCCCCACAACGTAAGTATTTTCCAAATTTCTGTAATCTCCATTAGCATATCCTTTTGCTAAGACAGTTTCAGTGGTACAAGAAAGAATTTGAAGAACGATTACTTGAATTAATGAAATAGGTATTTCCATAATACTTCATACAACTCAATATTTTTATTAAATTAGCACCCAAGGGATTTCAAGAACGTGGGAGTTATGCTAGCAAAAAAGATTAATAGCCCACAACGGAGAATACACATTCTTTCCATCTGACTGTGCTTATGCAATTTATTTCACTATTTTATTCACCGCCAATATCTTCAACTTGAGTAGGAGTAATGTCATAGGACCAATGAGATAAAATTACCATGCACATTTCTTGAGTCAGTTTAATTTTTTTTTTAAAATGCCAGACCATATAATTATGAAACAGCAATTTAAAAGCGTTCACATAAATATGGTTGAAATTTATACAGATTGAACATTAATTTACAGTTACACTGACCTGAGCAAGTGGCATCATCCAAAAAGACTTGCTTTGTAATTCAAAGATGTGGTACTCAGGACCTCAGGCCTGTACTACAAGTCTTTCAGGATATTTGCTCCAGTTTGGAGCTAATGGACTAAATGTTGATTAGGTAGGTAGATCAAGTACATCCTTGATGAAAAGGAATCCTATCTGCATGCTCCAAGACCACCTGGATGTGTGCCAGAGCATGGTAAGTGGCAATAACCAGAGGTGCACTATTGCTCTGAATTAACACACTAACATAGATGTATTTTATGCTTTATGTAATGTTCTGAGCACCTCTCAAATACCATAGGTTTCTTTTTTTTAGTGCTATTTTCTTTTGTGTTTCACTAATACACAATAAGAAGAGCAGAGAAGGTTTATAAGCAGTTGTGTAATATCTACACACAAAAATTATGTTGGAGACCTTTTTCACTAAATGCCTCAGAGCTTTACTTTTGACTGTTCGATAATGTTTACTGTTTTTTTCCTAAGGAAATGTGAATTTAAGCCTTCTTGCCTATCACAATAATTTCTTACCTCTGTGATTTTTGTATTGTCTCCTGTATCAGTCACCTTTACTGGAGTTGAACGCTGAGAAACAGCACCCTCATCTTCTTTATCTGTCCCAGAATCATCTTCAGAACTACTTGAGACTGCTTCCTCACTTGGGGGTGGAGGAGCACTAGCAGCTGTTTTGCGCTGCAGCACGGTTTCTTCTCTATTATTTTTGTTCCTATTAGGAAAGGCAGTATGTATTTATGAAATCAGCAAGACATTAACAATGAGTATTTAAAATTCCTAATCTTGGTTACAGTCTTTCTGGGGAAATAAATTTCATTCTCTGGAACAAGTTGTTGCTCATCTTTTGAAATCCCCGACTGATTTCTCTTCTTCAATTTCTTCTTATACTGGGGCATTTAAAGAAAGCCCAAAGGATTATGTCAGCTTTTCTCCACCAATCCTCTGATTCATTACTAAAATCCCTCCCCACAGCAGAATAAATAAAAAGGAATAAAAATTAATTGAGACATAATATCTTTGGTTTTGATCCAGGAAAAGGTTCACTCTCTGATTAACAACAATATCCACTCCAGTAGCTTTTTTAATCTTGGTCCCAAATCCTAATGATAATGTCATTTTTTTCTTTATTTTCCATACCTTTCCCCTCAGTTTAGTTCTTTAATCAGTAATATTTCTTTACGTAGCATTTCTCACTCCAGAAATTCCAGTCAGTATAAAGAGGTGCCTTATTTGTACGAAGACGTCAAGATGCAGTGTTTAAACATAGGTAGGCTAACACTGGTTTAACAGTATACGCTCTGAAAGGCATACATTACTCATCAGAAATTATACTACATCCTTTGCATCCTTTCCTACTGGCCAAAGAAGGGTATGTGGTTGCACTTTCCTCTCAGACACTGTCACAATCTTTCAGGGAAGGCAGTTAATGAATAGACATTAACTAATGAATTGACAGTTTACAGACAAATCCCTGGAAACAGGAAAGAAACATCTCCTTGCTGACATGGCTGTCCATATGTCATTGACACTGTGCATGATTAAAGGAAGACAGGAACATGCTAAGAGGTTTTGAAAACAGCATACAGCTTGGTGCAAGTGTTATTTTGAGTTGCAGGTCTAGTGTTCTCATGAGCATCACTTGAGCTCTAGGGTAGCACACCATGACTGTTAGAAAGAGTTCTGTCTCTTGATGTCAAACTCATACAGCAGTTTACTGAATTAGCTAAACTTTATATGCTCAAGAAACATGTACAAGCAAGTAGGAGAGTCCTTCCAGAGGAGTCTGAGAGCATACCCCACCCCCAAGAATTCTTACAGCAGGAACAAATGACTTGAGGGAAAAAATACCACAGGCAAGTTCAATTTCTGGCTCAGCAGAACCTGACATCTTCTTAGATTGAAGTTTACAGAAAGTTACGAAGACATGAGCACTCTTTTTAGAGGAAATTAAGGTTTCTTGTGACCTTCACCTCAGTTAGAAAAGTAGGGAAGATAACAGGCTTGGTGCTGTGACACTACCCTGGGGAGCCTGTTCTAGTGCTATCCAGTGTTATCCCCACCCCACTTTCGCACGTACTCAGAAGAGGCCAACATCAAATTACCCTAGGGACCAGAACACTCACAGACAAGAAGAGATAAACAAACCCTTCAGAAATGTCATAGATCAAAAAGATGATGACAAATGTGCAAGGCAAAGGTACCACCTCTACCAGAGGTTAAATATGGGTAAGGTGGAAGAGTGAAGCCTCTTTTTACCCTGCTATACAGCCAATGCAGAGCAAGCTTTATGAGTAATATCCAGGGAGTCCTGGAATGTGACTTTGACTGAGATGATTCTCTGTGTCTTAACAATCCCTAAAAATCACAGTAGAGAGATTAAAGCAAAGTGCCTGATAAAAATGTAAAATAGTCAAGTATTTAATGTAATATCTGAAGACAAATTAGTCCAAAATCTGGCATAATACCAAAGCGGAAGAATAAAGCTTCTCCTCAAAGTACCAGTAAACTCACAATTCTTAGTAGAGATAAACTCTGCAACAATTGAACAGTCTTCCTGTTTATTCCCAGGAACATCGGTAGCATGAAATTAGGTTCTGCTAATGATAGGCATAGTCTACTCTCAACATTTATTGGCAGGGAGATCAGAGAACAACATGAGACAGTCAAATGTCCTAGTGTTCAACCAAACAGCAAGTTTCCAGAGGAGCTTATAATGTGACTGCACAGGGTTAGTCATTACTGACAAAAGATTTCCTTCGTGTGAGGTATCAAAGATAGAACGAATTCAGGAAGAGTCCACATAGCCCTTGTGTGATACAGCAAATCAAACACAGCAATGGAATAAACAGACTAACAAAACATGTCCAGGACGCAAAAGCAGCTAAATGAATCATTCATTTGCCCCAATAACTGCTGCTTAATTGTTTTATATAATTTTATGTGTAAATATTTTAATAACCCTTTAAATCAAAAAAACTATGCTGAAATTGGCATTTATTTCTGTTTCAGGATATGTTCTCTTTATGAAAAAATTATCATTCCTCAAGACAATACGCATTCCTGTCATCTCCAATAGAGAATGAAGTTGCCACCAGTATGAAACGATGATCAAATTTTAATAACTTCTGTGTATTATATATAAAAATCTTCTCATGAATTTCACTTACAGGAATATGAGAAAACAGAAAATATTGAACAAGTCTGAATTAAGAATTTCTAGTGTCAAATGAAAATCTCAAATTAGATGTGATTTTCAAAGTGTAAAATTATACACTGGTGTATAACACCAATGAATTATTTCCCATGTAACATAGAAAATGCTACACAGACACACAGAGTTTATGTATTTTCATTATAATTCCATTACTATTGAATCAGAACAAGATTTCCCATTTCACACTTACCCCAATACAGATTTTCCAGTTTCATCAGGTTTACGAACAGTAAATGGACTGGGATCAATTCCCACGTTCTTAGGCATAAAATCTCTGCCAAAATAGTAAGGAAAAACTGTTTATGAGCAAAGTTCAACACATACAATTTTAAAGTTTTCTGGAAGAACAACCTCTAACATCTATCCTTGAATAAAAAAAAAATAATTATAAAAAGAGATATTGAGTTCTAACTTCATCTTTACAAGTTACATATATATAACCTCCCCAGGTATTTAAAAAGCTTTCAGTTGCATTATTTAGTCCCATAAAACAGCTGCAAATATTGCCACTGGCGAAAGACACTAAAACAATGTGCTTCATTCCCGTGCTGAAGAAGCCCCGTAACTCAGGGCTTCATATATTGTTTTCAAAATGCTACCAGCACTCAAATTGGGTCAAAAAGGTACATGAAACATAATCTGCCTAGAAGTCTTTAGCTAAAGCATGATTCAGATTATACTCAGAATATCCAGCTGATGGCTGACAACAAAAAACCCCAAAAATATCTGGCAGCTGTGAGAACCAGACGAACTGGAGAAAACAACTGTAAAGTGAGAGCAGAACTAGAAAACAATTGTGTTGAAGGTAGACTCTGTGATCAGAGTCCACAGGCAAAAGCTAATTTGTCAGCCTTCAAGTGCCCAAACATTAGACTCCATAATGGAAAATAATTGGAAATTTAAGCATTATTTTAACAGACTTTTTTTTAGAGTAACATTTCCATGCAGTACTGTGACTTAGTTTCGAGAACTTTGCTAAATTTGAAGTTACACATATTTAAACAAATAAATCAAATGCACATTTAATTCACACCAAATAAACTGCTGCCAAGGATTTAGAGCCATAAAACGTCCCACTATACCGTGCAGAATTGGTCATTGCCAAGCAAAAGGTCTCATCAAAACTGCTCAACTCATACGGCCTAAAAAACTCATTGTGGATATCGATTTCCTCTTCATATTTGTGGAACTTCTTCACTGTCAACTTGCGTCTGTTTTCAGCACTTGTCACTGAGGGGTAAAAGAATATTTTTACTAACAATTACTGACTCTCGCAAAAATCTAAAAAAAGAGTAGCCTGCTCACCTAGCCAGCCTACCAGGCATTTTTTTCTACAGTTATTTACTCCCTGAGATAAGAAAATATGACATGAAGATGTGTTGCATATCTTCAATAAGTATACATTATCAACCATCATAGTTTGATTTCCCTTCATGATGACAGTTCTTAATAAAAGATGCTCCACTGTAGCCCAGAGAACTAAGATACACTAGCTCTCCCATGTCAACTGCAACAGGAATGTAATCACCAGCACAGACTATAAATATATGTTAGTATGGAAGCAAAATGAAAAAAAGGATGAAGCGTGCCCTGGCTCATAAACATATGGAAGTCAAGTTTTAACCAAGTAGGCAGCTCTTGCAACCTGCAGTTGGAAAATCACGCCTCACTGGGAGGAAAAAACTAAAGAAGTATTTAACAATCATTATTTGGAAAGTTTTCGGTTTTTTCAGATTTGGGATCTAATACAGTTAAAAATAATTTGTAACTAAAATTTCTTTTTCAAGATACTCTTGCAAGGTAAGGAGAAAATACAGTTCCTACCTTCATCGAAAGGAAGAGGTAAATGCTTCAGCACACCCGTGGTCCACCAGTAAGTATAGCTACAGGAAAAACAGAAACATGGTTGATACAGATGATTTGATCTTGTATCCAGTCTAAATATTTGAACATAACGTTTACCTATCCATACAATATCACTTCAGCAAACACTGCTTTAAAACTCAAGTGTAAAAGAAAGTAAAGAATTATCCTTGGATAGAGGATTTCAACAGGCCCTTATTCAATTACTTTGCTCTCGGGTTAGGAAATTTAAACACATGAAGCTCTGTACAGGTATGGAGGGAAGTATAGTTCTGTTCCATTAAAAAAATACATAGCAGGTGCCTACCTCTACAGTACTGAAAATTAAAGTCTTAGTACATATAGAAGGTATTCATGTATTTCTTTTGTTCTGGTCTTTGGGGAGGGGGAAAAGAGGCATTTCCTCCCACTTGTTATTCAGATCCTAAAATTTAGAAGAAGGGTATGAAGAAATGAAGGTCAATGATTATAAAATCGGATGATTGTCAAAGCACCTGATTTCTACACATAGAAATACATTTTGATGTAACAGTTGTCCTACGTCTGAGAACTGTATGTTTCTCCCAGGCAATCAGCAGTAGGACAAGAGGGCACGGGCTTAAAGCTCTGCCAGGGGAGGCTGAGGTTAGAAAGAAGTTATTTACAGAGAGAGTGATCAGGCATTGGAATGGCCTGCCAAGAGAGGTGATGGATTCACCATCCCTGGACGTTTTTAAGATGAGGCTGGATGTGGCACTGAGTGCCATGATCTAGTAATCACAGTGGAGTTGGATCAAGGGTTGGACTTGATGATCTCAGAGGTCTCTTCCAACTCAGTTAATTCCATGACTCTACGATTCTATTTTGGCATATCTAACAGCAAAATTCAAGCCCTGATGGAAGCTTATACAGGATTTCAGTAAAACAACTAAGGAAGTCAAGGAACATTCATAAAATAAATCATGCTTTATCTTTCATACATGTTTACACATTTTTATTATCTCTTCTCAAATATCTTTTAATTTCTTCCCTAAATTATTCTGATAGATTCTTCTATTTCATTATATGGAATGAAAAGACAACTGTCTTCAGTGATTTTTATTTCAAATATGTGTGCATTCACAATACTGTAAAGGCTGTAATCAGAGTATTAATGTGCTTATCTCCTACTCATGTCAACGTAGCCATCTGGAGCAAATACAATGGATATATTCCCATACCCAGAGACAGACTTGTTAGTGAGATTCAGCAGACGGTACAGAACAGGCAGGGAAACACACTTCAGTTCCAAGAACTGTGTGTGTCCTAGACAGAAAGGAATGGTCCTGCCTCTTCTCCAAGTCCTGCATCAGGGCATGCTAAGCAAGCTATTTTCTCTGGTGCCTTCAGAAGCTATGCAGACATACCCGGTCCTGCTGCCCGCATAAACCATAAGTAACGTGGCAACACAAAGTCTCCTTTTCGATATTCAGTGTGCTCTCACGTGAGTCACAAATTATATAAAAGTAATATATGAAGCTCATTATTAAATCTCTTCTTTCTAATGGAGAGGCAAATATAATACAGGAAAAGCACAGATAGACAAAAGAAGTTTCAATGACAGGAAACATCATCTTCCTACTCTTCCTATATCCTTGATATCATTATGAGTTTTCATTATTTCTTCTGCTGTTGTGCCCAAGGAATCCAAAAGAGGGACTGCACATACAGGCAGGAAGAACGTTACATGAAGCACATGCCCAATAGTTTCATAGAAACAAAAAATGACTTAGAAGAGATTTTTTCACCTATTTATTTCACTTAGTTATTACATGGAGGCATCATTTTGTTCATAGGAGGAAACATCTTTGTTGTATATTGTAACTGCTCAGAAGAAATTCTGTCAGAATGAAAGGTAAAACTAATTAACAAGTAACTGAAGAGTATCAACAATTTTTTTTAATGTTCCACCTCATTTGAGAACAGTATCTGTGTCAAATAAGAGACAGCTGTTTAACAGAGTTACAGATGAAAGGGAGACTAGAACATTCTCATATTTGCAATGTATCAACAGAAATAATTTTTGACACACAATAATTTTCAGAACCAGTAGGCAAGAAAATTAATATTGCATGTTTCATGTATGCTGGAAACAGCATTTGGTTTTACGGCTCATATGAGTTATCATCACGTGAAGCCTCAGGAGCTAATACAAAAGGACTGAAATTTAGAAACAGCCACATCATACGCCAGCTGCCATGATGGGTTAATGGAATAAGCAGCCAACAGGGATCGATCGCACTGTTTAAGCACTTCCAATTTTCCCAAGACAGAAATCTAAACACAGATATTCAGATCTACCATATGTAATGAAGAGCTTTAAGACTCGTGGAGCGAACAAAGACAAAATTGTCAAAATTCCTAAGAGATTATTTAGTTGAATGTCTGGTGCTGTTCTTTTTGTTAAAATAGATTTTTCTTAATGCACAGTATTTATAATCCTCAACAAAATAATTTCACATTGTGAAGCACTCAAATGACTTTAAAATTTTTATACTTTATTACTTCTGTATGTTACCATGCAACTACAGTGGAATGCAAATGAAAAAATGTAGTCTTCAAAACAGGCTAGACATGGCTGAAAGGAAGGTGGAAAATCATGGGTTTCTTGGTATGCACAGTCGCAGACTAAGCAGAGCAGACAGAAGAATAAACAAATGTTATCTTCATCACCTAATCTCAAATTCAACAATTAATAAATCTGACAATCAAGAACGCACCTGAATATTATTTAATGAAAGCGTAGTAACTGTACTTCAGTAAATTAGTGAAGCATTTTGCACTGCAGGATAGAAATTCATATGAAATTAAACTTCTTCTTTCAGTGCAATAGGAAAATTAAAGCAAAATCCTTCAAAACACTTCAATTCAACATTTTTGGATAATCTCTTGAAGGTTTTTTTTAAGCTATTATAAAACTTAAAAAACAGTAAGCAAGTTTTTGACGGGCTGACTAAATTATTTGATTAACAGCAGGTGTCTTTTAAAATTTGTTAGAGCAATACCAACCAAAACAAACAACAGAACAGCAAAATACCTTTGCCTGGTCTGTGACAGACTGAGGGTGTTCTTGTGATGCAAATAAAAATCAGTAGGAAGTTCCCAGAGATGTGGTTTTCCTTCTGAAGGCTTGAATACTCCCAGAAAGAGATTGATAGAATCTTGCCTGTCTGCATCTGTTAGACAAGAGGTACAATTAACACCGGAAACCCTGCAGAGCTCAAGCCCATTCAGGCACTGGTCCTCCGAGTATGTATGTCCTATGACCTCTGGGCTTCAAGCAGCATAAATGCAACCTCATTTAGACCAGACCTTGTGCCACACTGCAGGGCATGCGGGGCTGGTAGCAGCACTGCCTCTTTCCTTGGCTTCTCTCCCAGGAGCTAAGGCTTTACTGAAGTAAGACCTCACGCTGCAGCTCCATCTCCCACCCCTGCATATATGTGTATGCATGTGTAAGCATGTGCATGTATTTATACACGTTTCAGGAAATTTGACATATTGTGCTGAGTTTACTGCGAGCTAAATAACCGAAGAATGATTTAATGAAATTAAACAATATCCACACAAGTTTCCACAAAACATAAAAATTATTAAACTTCACAAACACCTTTTAGTAATTTGGGCTTTTTCCCTGTTGGTTTAAATAATTAATTTCTCTTGTCATATTTTGAGCTCCACCAAATTAAATAAGGCAAGTGCTAAAATCCAGTAGCACATACCACTGTTGATGAAGCGTGGTAAGAAATGCCATTCAATTATATCTTCAAAATCCCTCTTGCTGCCTAGCTGCAGACAGGATGAGTTACAACAAATATAAAGAAACACAGGAGTCAAATGAGGGCTCAGGGATGGGCAAGTGTACAAAGACAGCTTTGCAAGCAGAGTCATAGGGGCAGAAGAACGCTTGCACTCTAAGGATCTTCAGGCATGGGGGAATTTGTGGAGAACTGAGCTCTATTTGTGCATGTGGACAGTTCTTCACTCTTATTTGCACTTCAGTAATCATCAAACAAGGAATAGTTCAGACTAGTTCAATAGATAGTGCTACTCCTGCAGTTCTCTCCACATTTCAAAAAGAGCACTACGAAAGTTGAGTGTTCGTTTACCAAATACACTCCATCAAAAAGACAAAGTCTCAGTACACCAGAAGGCAGGTAAAAAAATAGGCAGAGTCCACAAAACAGTGGTATGACAGATCAAAGTTGGTTCCTGGTTACCATCCAGGTTTCAGTCAATATTTCCTTCTCCCCAGAATTCAAATATCTCTTACCTCCATGCAACATAAAGCATTTTCTACAAACACAAAAGCAGCTGACAAACGAAGTGCTGTGTAGAAATGTGTTGACAACAGGATTATAAACAGTCACGTGATGTAAGAGGGCAAAGCATCAGGAAAAGGGAAAGAAAGGGGAACCTCCTGATGTTGCTTATCTTCCTTCACTATTTAGAGAACCCTTCATCTGGAATCGGGCCTTTTCTTCCTTTTCTATCCACTCATACTCCCTCCAGATACATTTATTGTCTCTTCAGAGCACTGTTTCAAGAAGACACTTATTTTTCTTTCTTTATTGCTCCTCACCTTCCCATTTTTCTTAAGATGATCAACTTATAAACATTAACTCTTCTACACAGTAATACTCAAAAGCATATGTAGGTCGTTATAGTTTGCAGGCCATATTGTTTCTGCAAAACAGTGTCAGAATTTAACCAAGACATAAGGAGAGAATGAGGATGGCCAAGAACACAACAAGAAAGCTGTGCAGAAAGAAAACTCTGTAAAAAGGTCTGAACACCCCCTCCCAACCAAAACAACCTTGTTGAGGATACTAAGAATTAAAAAGAAAGTAAAAGTCATAAGTAGTAACGTGCATTTTTATCTTCCTGATAAGATATTTAGTGTGTGGTTTAAAGAAAGTGCTGAACAAACTCTTAAGAAGCATAGAAACTGGAGGAGCCCTAAAGACAAAATTAACTAACAGGAGCAAACAGGTCAACATTCGTGCTAATTTCTGAAAGCCAAAAGGATAGATGAGCCTCCTTTGTTCATTCCACTGTTTCATCTGCCAGGAACAGAAGGTACACTGAAATTGTTAACTAAATAATTATAAAATAGTTAGACTGAAACGAGGTAATTCAGTTAACAAACTATCTCACTAGTTATACAACAGATGCTAAAATGAAATAAAACTAAATGAAATTTTTTGTGTGAAAACCAGGTTGAATTTAAACTCGTACCAATTGAATTAATCAATTCATTGTCTGAAATGGTGTACAGTAGCAGTTCATTAAAGCAATCTTACCTTTCTTTCACAGCAAAAAATGACTGTTGTTAAATGTTACACTGCTGAAGGACTCAAACTCTCCTCTGCTTTATTGTTTCAGTTATGGAGTTGTGTTTTAAACCTAACAGAACTACAGAACAATGTCTTTCTACTATCTTACTTCTCAACTTATAATTTAAAAGTAGGTAAAACCCCATAATATTAAAGATTGTTTGTGCTTAAGTCTTCAAGCTGGCACAAACATATGTGTGATAGTTAACTTGAAAGGTCATAATCCCCCCCCACATTACAGTAAGAGTTGAACAATTTAATGACTTAATTTTGAACAAAAATAGTGAAAGCTGTTGTCTTTCTTTGAAACACCAGGCAGAGAAAAGAGAATACTGAGATTTGAGATCAATTTTCTCATCTAGACAATAAAAAAAGAGAACATGTCAGTGCACTCGGGAGTGTAAAAGGACAAACAGGTTTTCTCCCTCTATTGCTAGCACTGAATGCTATAATTATATCCAAGCAAGTAGAAAGACTGCACTGATTTTTTCAAATGTACGTGTATACTAGCACACATTAAAGACCATTTGAGAAACTAGGAATTGAAAGGGCCAGTTAATTGAATTAGCTTAAAATAATCTACTGCTCTCAATCTGAGTTTGCAACTGCACCACATGACAAATTACTAAATCACGAGAGATTCAGCACACGTGGAACTGTAACACTGACTAAAAGGTTATGCTAATTAAGTTTACTTTCTTACAGCACCACAAGGTAGTTTTCTATGTTGACTCCTGTTTGTGGATAAATAGATTATTCCAGATTCCAGAAGCTTATGCATGTTGCAACTCTAACACTGAAGTCTGTGACATCACATTACTTTCTAAAAGGCATAAAAGCTAAAAGAATATTATTTGGAATACTATTTCCTAATTTCTCTGACAATTACAAATTAAAGAAAGATGTTAGAATTCAGCTTACACCTAGCCATTTCAGTGGCTGGCATAAAGGTGAACAGGTTCAGAGATTGGTTCCATCTTCTACGTATCGTGACAGGTGACACTGCAAGTGCGCTACCTTTTGCTGATAAGAATTGATGAAGTCATACCTTGTTGCCAATGCAAACAGTAAGAGGCCATATGACTGAAATAAACAAGCTCTGCATTTTTCAGGCAAATGCGATACACGAATTACATGATTTACATTCAGAAAAGTACTCTGAATGGTGAGCTCTCACAGTATGTTACGTACACCAAAGCAATTAATTTTAGCCAAAGAAATCAGAGATTACTGAAGTATTTCTAGCCTTTGTTCAACTCACTGTTTTAAAGTTCACATAGTCTAATAATTGCAGTCTACTAGGAAGAGAAAGAAAAAGTACTTCCATCTCTGGCTATGCAGTTTTTGTGGAAAAGAGTAATAGAGGACTGACACTATTTATAACACAGTAGCACTCAATGTTTGCCCTTTTGACATGTCTGAGACTGTCCTTTGATCAATCTTTTAGACCTTTTTCATGGCTTCTAAAAACACTAACCTTTTTTGCTTTGTTTTGTTACTTTGCATAAGGTACAGTTCAGCATTTTTAAAAGAGGCTTCCCCTTAGCAATGTTTCTCAAAAGAAGGTAGAATACTGTCAGTGTTCCAAAGATGTGTGATACCAGCTAGTAAAGGAGTAAGTTAATATTTTACAACTCATTTAACTGAAAAAATCAGTTTATTTACTTGGTGGACCTCAATTTTTGAATTTAATTTTGTCTTTTCTACCACAGATTTAAAGTTTGTAGCTCCTATTCATATCCAATAATACATGTATTACAGCTTGTTTTTTGTTTTAAGCCCCCAGACAAGAAATACTCCACATGGAGCCTTCTACTTGTGTTTAGATTTACCAATTTTCCTTCTATTTGCTGAAAACATTCTGTCCAACATTTTAACAGCTCTATAACAGCTACCTGCTTCTCTACTGATCTACAAATGTCACTGACAGATTCAGTGCTATGTGTACATTTTCTAAATAATCCTTACATCAGTTCACTAACTTTTAACAAAGAAGGCTGCATGCTATAACACAGGATAAATAAATATTTCATCAAATCAGAATACCTACTTGATATCCATCAGATGTTACTGAATTATTTGGAAATTTTAATATAGAGGATCTCTGCCATAAGATCATAGTATAGATTACTGAAACATCACAAGTAAGATGCTTTGAAAATAATGGCTTAAAAGAATGCACTTAAAATCAAATTTACCTGAGAAAGCATTACTGTAATATCTTGAGAGCGTTTGCATAATATCTTTGGAATGCTGAGTCCATGGAGCTATCTTTCTATATGTTTTTACTCTGTGCACAAGCTGAGAGCCTCCATATTGCAGAGAAAGTGTGTCTCCGTGATCTTCGTATAATTCTTCAAATAATCTGAAGGAAAAGCAAAATGAGTCATCTATCAAACTTCTAAATAGAATTTTTTAAAGAGAAAAGATAATAAAGTTTTGTAATAATAAAGTCTTTCTGTAAATGTAATACAGTTTCTTCTCCTTTATTCAGATAAATATGTGGAAATTTTATTCAGACATAATAATTACTAAGAAGGTTTAGACATTGAGATTTTCATTAATTTTTAATATAAGAGAACACATTCACACTACAGAGTATTCACTTCTGTAGATTCAGGAAGAAGATTAACATGTCCCACTAGTCCATGAGCAGACAACAAACAATATACCTCCCCAAACCAAGGTATTTTAAATACACTAAATGGGACAGAACACGTCAGTATCTCAAGGGTACATTTTCTGTTGAGTCCACTGGCAATGAAGTTACCGTAACCTTCCAAAAATCTTCCTAGAGACAACAATGATGGCTCAGAGGTACAAACCAAACAAACCTGACTTGTTAGAAAAGTGTATGGCAGCCAGATAACATTTGCTGGAGCTGGAAGATCACGACATAAGAAGAAGGCCAAAGGAGCTGGCTAAGAACTGACTTGAATGAGGATAGCTGGCTAAAAAGCAACACAGTCCTCTTGCATCAGGAAGCTGACAGTATCCAAACTGAGAGCAGTCCAAATAGCAAAAATTAAAGAAGCTTCTCATCAATGACAAAACCAAGACAACAGCTTCAGAAAACAAGACTCTCCTTCCTACACAGATGACACCCAGGCTAAAAACAACAGATCAAGAAGTGCTTCTCAGAAATGGAGAGTATGGTCTTGGTTAAGCAAGGCAATGACAAGAATGACATTTTGCTAAAAGAAGCTGGAATTTCAGTTAAGAGACAAAAAACAAAAAGGAAAACCAAAAACCAGAAACAAAACCCAGAAAACCAAACGCAACCATCAAACCTGGGGAAATGTACTTCCCATCAGAATAGGAAGACACAGTAACTCAGGCATCTGCAAGTATGTTTCCAACAAAGGGACAGTATTGAATAAGTAACCTAGCAACCATCTGACTGAAGTTCTCTTCAAAACGTTCTGGATGAAGAACACTTACCTCAGCAGCAAATCAATTTCTGTAAAAATCAAATAGCTGTCCAGCAAATCTTCTGCCCAAGGTCAAGTAAAATAATATCAATTAGGAGGAAACATCTGCTAAGTAACTTTAAAAAAAAAAGGAAAAAACCCACAGAACAACAGACAATAAAAACCCCAAAGAAATAACTCCAAACCCATCTGCCTCCACACAAATTGTTCAGAGTTCATGACACCACATATGAGAATCTTGTTTGTTTCTTTGGGTTTGGTGGGTTGGTTTGTTCTTGTTTGACCAGCAATTCTTGTCAACTGAAAGCTAAAAAATGGCTGAAGGCAAGAACTGGCAGGTAAAAAGATACCTCTCAAAAATTTCCCAGTCAGGCATGGGGGATTGATGAACAGAGTTCCAATGAACTTGCAATAGAGGTTCATAGAAAGCAGACAACTTTAAATTCATTAAGGACACTGATAGGGATCCAGTTGATTTGGAAAGGACTCACAGAATTAAATTACCCTTCCACAGCCTCCACACATTAGTACTGCAGTCACACAAAGACTAGTCTTCCACAGAGAGAAAAGTTAACTACACGAGATAAAATAAGTTGCTAAGGTACACCTTGTTGTCTTATCTAGGAATTTTCCTAGACAATTACACTGAAGGAATCACTAGGAAATAGAGATTGCAGAAATGGTCCTGCACAACAAAGTCATTAAGAAAATTAGTCTTGCTAGACACACAATTTCTTTATCCACCAGGCTGGCAAACCAAAATAAATTGCTGACTTCAAATATCTAATTCAATGGAAACTCTGGACTGTAGCCAGCTGGTGAGACCATATGAGAAAAATAAGAATTATGAGAAGGACAGCTGAAGAATGTGATGAAAAAAATTTAGTTTTTCAGACATGTTAGCTAAATTAAGGAAGATGGACTGTTAAAGATTACCCTCTTTGGTCATTTAGAAGATTGTAAATGAAGAGGCAGCATATACACGAAACAGATACTTGATGTGAGGCAGTGCAAGAAATGAGAATGCAGGAGGTTAAAAAGTGAAAGACTGCACTGCATTGCACTGACCAGAGACACAGTATAACACATGCTCGTCTTTGGAATCTGCTGCACTATGAAGCAGGATTTCTTAATTATTCTGAATACAGTAATTCAGAAACAAGTCTTAAGAGATGACAGAATCTGTTTCAGACAAGCACACATCTGGTGCAGTGGAGGAGAAAAAAAAAATTAAATATGGCCAGACAAAGGTAGCCTTTTATGTCAGACTAATAACTACATTTCAATGAGATAATGAGAAATAAGGTATCAGGAAAATCAGAGACAAAGCGACTACTACAATCTTAAGAAATAGTGATAAAAAATGGAAATTTGGGTGGTTGGGACATAGAGAAGAAACAGGAATGAGAGAAAACAGACAGGAAGTGTGAGACTGTTGCAACAGAAAGCAACAGAAGAAATCTGGGCTCCCAAAATAAGGGTAGGAGGCAGGGAGGTAGCAATGTTAAGGAAAGACTGTAAAATGCAGCCTGAGTAAGTGCCAAAGTAAGTGGTAGCTGTAGAGGATACCATAGAGAGCAGATGTAAAAGACCTGTCCACCTCCTAATTCCCCCTATTTAGAACCCAAATGTCCTGACTGCTGAGGCCCCAGGAGGCTGCACAGCAACCGGTATTAGTAGCAAAACTAGTTTATTCCCAGAGGTAAACATGCAGCTCCAAGCAGCTGGGACATGGTGAAGGAGAGGAATTGCTAGCACACAGAGGAAGCCAGCCAGTGGGTGCTCTCCTGGGCCATGAAGCAGAGGCCAGGGGCCATCAACTGCACAGTGAACCAACATGCTGCAGGTGAGGTTGTTTCCGTGGCACACACCAGCTCCCAGCTCCAGGCAAGTGCTGGAAACTATTGGAAAAAAAGAGAAACTGAAGGTAAAGACTTCTTGTCTTTTCTGACTATGAGTTACATCTCCATGTTCTAAAACTATCAAACCACCAGTCAAAATCAGCAGTGAAGTTGTAAGTTTCGCAGTCATGACAACAACTTTAAGGAATAAAAACAGAACTCCTCAAGGACTCTTAACTTGTAAATATGCTTCAGAAATTAATGTAAGTAGCTGAGTTCACTATGACTCCCAAAGCATTTCAATATAAATACTGGGTTTTCTTAAATGTTTCGAGGATGCTTGTACCACTGATTCTTGATCTGAAAGAACAATTTCGAGGAAAGACTTTTCTTCAATAAATCAAAACCAACAAAACTTTTGCAAAGAAAAAGCAGGAGATATCAAGGTAAGATGTACTTCTACACAAATACCAGTTTGGCATTCTCCATAAAAGTGTGTGTTTATTTTCACTTTTAGTCAGGATTTTGCCTCAAGTAATCGAAGCAAGTATAAAAGACTGGGGTGGGGGTTTTGTTACATTTATTTCAAAGGAAAACTCTTACCTTTAAGCTTAGGCATGTAAAAAGAATAAAGTCAAGTTGTTATCTTGTAAGAAGACTCATTAACATACCTTTCCAGAAGAGTGAACTTTCAGCATGACTGGATTTTCTCAAGCTTTCAAGCATGGAAAATTTTTTAAACTTCGATGAATAAGTATTATTAATTCATTCCAGTAGAAATAACTGTATTTCTCTTCTACATAGATATAATCCTCCTAAGTTTCTTGACTCAAAATTAGAAGTCAAAGCCATGACACACATATCTTACCTTACAGCATCTGTATCAAATTGTAAATTTGGTTTATCAATCAATCCCAATGAATAGAGTTGGTATGCCAAAGCACATTTCCCAACCATAAACTGGGCTGTGTTAGTGCGATCTAAACAGTCCACACAATTGGTCCGGAGAACTCCAGTCTGGTGAAGCAATCCAAACAAAAGATTTACTTTCATTAACACATCACTACATTCACAATTATTACTTTTTTCCTACTATCCAGGTCTTGGCAAATCCCAAACTATGTTTTCACAAAAATTTGAGAAAAAACATTTCCGAAAAACGTTAAAAAGCAGTTCATCTCTAGCAAGCTACATCAGAGCGCTGTAACTCCTACTTGCAAAATATTCTTGCTTTTATCAACACACAAACTGCATGTCTCCAAATCGGAAACAGCCCTGAAGAAGCAGTTTTTGGGTGTGAGTCACAAAATGTCTATTCAGAGATGAACTGTGATCCAAATGCTTACATGTATGTCACTGGTGACTATTTCAAATTACTAAAGATAAAATAATCATTCCCCTAACACAGGTAAACTTGCAAGACTAACGCTAAAAAAATTTTACTAGGGTTGATTTCTTTTTTTAAACAGATCAAATTCTGTCTGCTCTGCTGTTTATCTGCCCTCAACAAACATTTACCAGTGACTGGCTAGTAAAGGAATGGTCACATGCTCTCGAACTTACAGGAACTAATGAATGGCAAGTCAAAAGCAACTAATGCTGCTTAAGAATATGCCCTGTGTTCAGAGTATATTCAGGTACAAATTTGGGACTGTATGGTTTACAGTTTAGTCAGTACTTTTCTAACCTTAAAGAAAGACATGTTCATAGTTCTATTTTCTTTTAGTGACAGAAACCATAACAATGTACAGAATATTCATCACTGGTGAAAATGCTTCTCAAAACTCATGTTCATGTGTATGAATATGTTACCAGGCTTAAGTATGCTTATTCCTTACTTCTTCTGTTTAACAGTAAATGATGCAGTTTGCTGAAATGCTGCTGTTTTAACTTTCATTGCACTGGAAACATTACAGACTAAATAGTAATGGAAAGTAGTTAAAATACAAGCATTTTTCAGACCATCTCCAGCAAAAATACAATTTCAACACCAGGCAAGAACTTTGCGTCCTAATCCCCAATTGGACTTCTAGGATGGACAGTAGCAATACTGTGTACTATAAATGCTAACTTAAGAGCAGTCTGTGAGTCACCAATCAAGTATTTAAGTGAAACGGTTCACTGGATCTTTGAGAGTGCTGATCTATATCATTATAACTACGAACTAAAAAAACGTGTTTCAGTACCTGCAAGCGACCAGTGGAAACAACACAACCTCCCAGTTCATTCCACCTGAAAGAGAAGGAAAACAGAATGATTTTCAAGTAATTTAAAAAAATAACAGATCATATAATGTATTGATCTACTCAGTGAAAAATGGTGACAACCTGACATAAAGCAAAATTGATATCCCTGAATAACAGAAAGCAGTGAGAGCTTTATGCAGCAGTAAGATGTCGCATTCAAAACACATTGAAAAATAAAATAATGCATCTAGTCTTAAAGTAGAAATATTCCTAAATCATACAAAGTATTTCCTTTGCTCCCCATAAAAAAGAGTATGAGCAACACAAGTGTTGCTAGATTGGATCCTGAGTGCACAAAAATTTAAGTAGGTACAACCTCAATGACTGGAAGGTAGAGGTATAACATACACTGTAGGACAAGCGGGCTGATTTAAATCTTCTCCCTCATACTGATCCCAGGTATATGTGCTGGATACATCAATACATACAGACATATTGCCTAGGTCTTGCAACTCTGTATAGGCCTTAACTGTACCACAGAGTTAGAGCACATGAACCAAAAATCAAAGGTATTTTGAGGGAAAGAGAAGTTATGCTCGGTGCAAGTAACCCCTGAACTACTAAATATTTTCAAGTTAGTGGGGTTATTTAGCCTGACTAGAGCACTGCTACGGCAAGCCTATATACTACATTTGAGACTCACCAGACTACCTCTACAGAACCTGGCACTGATGTTAAATCTTACTCCTGGTAGTTTATATTCATCACATCTGCTATACTGCATGGCAGAGAAAAGCTTTAAGAGAGTTTGAGCTTAGCCTGTTTTTAAATGAAGATAGGCTAAAATAGCAAGGATGCTCTTCATGTAAATATGAACACCCATTTGGGTAGTGATGAATTAGATTCACAACATGAAAATGCGAATCAAAATCTTACTTCTAATGTACCAGTTATTTTACTTCTGCATTTTCAGAGACTTGAGAGACTTCATCTGCAGCAGTATAAGCAAATATTTTTTTTTTTTAAAAAGTTTTAAATTTTTTATTTACTAATACCATAAAATCCACAGGTAAACAACAGTAACATTCAGATGACAATTATTAGTATGCCTCAAAAGAAGTCACTTAATAATTTCCAAATAAGTAAGTCTCAAAATAAGAAATAATCTAATAGACAGAAATTCCAAACAGCTTTTCAAGGAACAGATGTTATTCATTAAGCATCAAATAAATTATAGGTACTTCTCATCCGGACGCAAGATACTGCAGTAGGAATCAGGACGATTTACAAAAAATCCAGTCTTCTTTACGACATTTTCTGCAATCACATTTAGTCTGTCAAGGACATTGCAAAGTTTGCTGAGGAGAGAAAAAAAAAGACAGTCAGGACACATTAATGCTAAAAAAAATTTCACCGTGTGAAGTTTTTCCATAACAAAAATGATTTAAAGACAGACCCACATCACATCTTTATTCATCTAACGGTAATTATGCCTATATTTTATTAGATTTTACAGACTTAGGAAACAGAAACTGACCATATCTGATCAACTTTGTTTCTTTTCGATAAAACATATTACATAAGTGGAAGACTTAAGAAGTCTAACACTCCTTGACTTTTACATCACACTGATTTTTCTCTACTAAAACTTTCTGTCATTCACAAAATATGAATGAGGCAGAAAAGGATATGTGATTATGCTAAATCACATTCCCTTGTTTTGTTTGCAAGGTGCTGTTTCATTCAGTAACATTGGTTTCCATGTGTGGCCTTCATGATGTCCTGCACCTCCTCCTCAGATCAGGGTGTCCATTTGTTCATTATGAGGGACTTTATCTTCTGTTTACTGTAATTTCATTTTCAAGGTATTTATTACAGTGTTAAAATTTCAAGTAGCAAAACCAATTATTTATTTTTTAAAGATTGCTAATACTGAGACAGAAAAAATATTTTGGAACATTTCCAACAGTACTACTTTCCAACAAACTTACTTCAAAATTACATCTTAAACCAAACATGCTCAGTATTCCTGAAACTGTCAGTTTTGCATATAATCTTGTTCAAAGCTCTCAGGTATTTTTTATATCTGTACTAGAGCGGGTATACTTATATCTAGCATATCTTCTGAAGGGATATCTAGCCTTACTTTGAGATTTGCTATTTAATTGTAATACAAACAGTCGCATATACACCTAACTGTGCACAATGCCATTTTAGACGAAAAAAGGTAGAGTGAAACCATGTCAAACTTTAATGCAACATCTTCATACCTACATGACCAACCATATCATCCAACTAGTAATCACAAATAGCAACTTAATATTGTTTTCCACAGCCTTTTTTCCCCCCAAAATTTTAACTGACAAACAATAATTATATTCATGCCCTTTGAACCAAACCAGTTTTTCTGTTGTTTTGCTCAGACTGATACAGTAACAGATACCTAAAAGATGATCTAACAATTCTTATCTTTCTTCATGAATTTCTGGCAACATAAGATACAGTAGACATGTGCATATCAAAGAGCTTTACAACTGAATTGTATGCAACTTAAGAATAGTAAACTATACTTGTAGGTTTAAAATTTTTATGGTTTGCAAATATTTTTACTTTTTGTAAAATGTTAATCCTTTTAACATGATCTTAGTATAGCATTGTACTGTCAAAAATTATAGACTAAAAAGTCACTGAATTTATTTGCCTTTCTAAGATACATGCTTCTAATAAACTAAAAGTTTTGTAACACTGAAATTAAAGCCCTCATTTCCCTTTGGAAAAGGAAATGGAAAAGGCTGATTGATATGAATTCCTCTGTTTTCCAACAGTTTGCAACTCAATAAATTTGATGACTGAAACGGAACACCTCATAGAATGCCGTGTTTTGACTAATTCAAAATCAAAAGTGAATGTTGATGGTTTTACTTTTTTATTATGACTTTTCTCTAAAATTTTCCAGTGCAGAGAATTTCAAAGTTTTCAGGCTTTGTTTCACTTTGCTAAGAAACCACAGAAATCCTTAAAAATCCTTCAAAAAGCTGAGGGTTTATAAAGAGTTCAATAAAGTTCTGCCAACATTTCTAAGCTACACTGAACTGAAAAGCGACACACTCGGTAGCATGCAGTTATTTGTATTGTGGCTAAAAGCACTAGTAAAAAAGGATCTTTTCTACCTTTTTGTGTATTTGGCCATATCCCAGGGTATATATATAATTGCATGCTCTGGGGGTAGAAACTGGTTGAGATACGACACAGCAGCAACAAGTTCTTCACTGAGAATCCTTTCGTGCTTTCTTTTTTCACGTTCCTTTAGCAAAAAGAAAAGTTAACATCACAATTTTATTAACAAATGTATGTAAACCCATACACATACACACATACATATACGTATATATAAAGAAAATTAAAAGTAGAAGCTGTAATAACGGCAGGCAGTTCTTCATAACTAGTTAAATTAAATTAAATATAAAATAGATATATAAATAACTAGTTAAGTTAAATGAACAGTAGAAGAAAGAAATATCTGAGCATTCTAGGTCTTCAACGATTTATCTGTATTAGTAGTAAAAGTCACTTGTTTCAATGACTGTGCATAGTCACTGGCTGAAAAACGGAATGCTGTAAGAGCAAAGAAGAGCACACAGAAACAACAGTGGTAATATAGCTGAAACAGACAAAGTCAAAAGAAAAGGAATAAGACAGGCAGAAAGGGAATAGAAGCATATAATGTTTCATGAGTCAAGGTCACATCAGCCCAGATTCACACGATCACAGTGGGGTTTAAAAGCTATGGCTGCAAGAGACAAAAGTTTTCATGTCAACAAATACTATCCTAAGTTGATCCCACAGACTTCTGGACAGTCTTAAAAGCACTCCTACACAGGAATGCTTCTGGAACTAGGAAACTGGTTATTTAGTTGTCATTTTTTACAACTTAGAGTTTTAAAAGCCTTCCTTTTGTATTTTACCTATATTTTTATACTAAGAACAGATCCTACAAACACAGAAAATATGCTTTTTCAATTGAATACAGTTGTATAATATGATAAAGTTAATTACCTTTTTTAAAGACTAAAAGAAATAAGACATTATTCAAGCAAAACAAATCAATATATTCAATTCAAATGTTGGAACATGCACCACCACAGAAATTGGCTGGATCAAAACACAAAAAAACACCCCAAAACAAAAACAACTTCAACACAAATACAAGATGCAATGACCAAAATTACAGTGCCACCCAAAATCCAGGCTTTCTACCACAGCCTCTCATACAGCAGTGAACTGAATTACTGCAGCAAATGTGAAGCTCCCCCGACTAATCCAGCCCTGCTGCTGCTGGCACTTCCTGTTGGCAAACAGCAGATGCTTCAGTTTTTTCTTCCACTCATACTTCCATGACTCTACCAGAGCAGAGTCTTGGAAGCAGACAACAGAATATAAGTCTTTACCACAATATTTCAAATAACCACCTCTGTCAAGAAGTCTACAAACCTTGCTTTGCATGGAATCATTATATTTTGGTATTTTTTTAGTGGTAAATTAAATTTAGTGATAAATTTATTTGGACTTACATCTAAAGGGTAATAGTAAAAACCTGAAAACAATCGTGAAAGGTTACAGTAAGAAGTCTGTAAATATAGGACTTATATTTTTTTTTTTTGCAGGTTGCAGTGGAAGCAATTATTCACTAAATCATATAATATGAGATTTATGAAGAAAACATTCAATTTATAAGCTAATATTAGTTTCAAACATAACCAGAATTACAGAGAGACTCTATAGAAATAAGCATAGTATTAAAAATTAGAAACCACATAAAACATATTCAAAATATCGTACCTTCACAAGATTCAATATAATAATAGGAGAGCCAAATCTCTGAAGCATTTGATCAAAGTGAAGAGCAGCAACATGTGCAAAAGGATCTGCTTGGTCCACTGCAACAAATACATATATTCAGGATGACAGTAAGCAATCATTTTGCCTTAAAAGTACTCTTCACAAAAGACATGTTAATTATCTGGTAGTAATGATACAATTACATGGCTTTCCATGCAAAACCTCTTAAAAAAATTATTCCCTTCTCCAAACTGGAGGTGACTTTTTAAACTTTCATGAGATACTTATAAAGAACAATTATTCTGGCCCCATTAATCTTAGCCCAGACATTTTTCACCATTGTCATAGAATCAGAGCGGTTGGAAAAGATCTCCAAGATCATCAAGTCCAACCCTTGATCCACTACCACCACAGTTACTAGACCACTAAGTGCCACATCCAGTCTCTTCTTAAAAACCTCCAGGGACGGAGAATCCACCACTTCCCTGGGCAGCCCATTCCAATGCCTGATTACTCTCTCTGTAAAGAATTTCTTCCTAATATCTAACCTAAACCTCCCCTGGCAGAGCTTGAGACCATGCCCTCTTGTCTTACTGATAGCTGACTGGGAGAAGAGACCAACCTCAACCTGGCTACAACCTCCTGTCAGGGAGTTGTAGACAGTGATGAGGTCTCCCTGAGCCTCCTCTTCTCCAGGCTAAACAACCCCAGCTCCCTCAGCCTCTCCTCACAGGACTTGTGCTCAAGTTCCCTCACCAGCCTTGTTGCTCTTCTCTGGACCTGCTCCAGCACCCCAATATCCTTCCTGAACTGAGGGGCCCAGAGTTGAACACAATACTCAAGGTGTGGCCTCACCAGCACTGAGTACAGGAGAAGAATCCCTTCCCTGCTCCTGCTGGCCACACTGTTCCTGATACAGCCCAGGATGCCATTGGCCTTCTTGGCCACCTGGGCACACTGCTGGCTCATGTTCAGCTTCCTGTCGATTCAAACTCCAAGGTCCCTTTCAATAGGTTTAATATTTTATCCACGATACTAAGATAAATATAGCCAACTTTGTACACAAAATAAGCACAAAGAAATCTCCCATCTTCAAGTAGAAACTTTTCGTATTCCATTTCTGAATGTGAAGTCTAAGATGGAGATTTTTTCGGGATTTTTTTTTTTTAACCTCAGTTATAGTTTCCCAAAGCACAAGTGCATAGACAATTAGTTCATTTTTGCAAATTCAGTTTTCCCTTATTCTCTCAGATGTTCCTTTAGGTCACAGCAGTAACTCTCATCTATCACAAAAACAACTTGTACATACATGTTATGGGTGGCTTAGGCATCATAGTTGAAATATCTTGAGACCAGTACAGAGGGACAGATCCTCGAACCTGAACATAAGAAGAATAACTCCCCGCAGAAAATGACATAACTGAAGCATCATAAAGTATTTGTTCAGTCTCCACTTCATTAGCAACATCTCCCTAAAGCAAACCGAAATACATGTATGATGTAGACATGACTCACTTTGGAGTTGCCTGCATTACACAGAATTGATCATTACAAACAGAGCACAATTAAACTTTAAGACACCTAATCACAGTTGCAAGAACAACACTGAAGTTTAAATTCCTATTTGTCTCTAAATGTGTATTTTCAGGGTTTTTTTTCCCCTCTGTTTGGGAAATAACATTATCTCTAAGTATAAAAAAACCAAAACAGCAGCCAATTTAGAATTATTAAATTTAATATAACCTCATTATCTCAATTAAAAATGTAATGATACCTGTGATAACATTATCTAAGAGCATAATATATACCCAAAACCCCAAAAAAACATCTGAACCATTTCCATTCTTCAGTCAGTCAAGCTCAGGCTTTCAGATTGTGGAGGTAGGGGGAAACAACCACTAAAATCAAATCTGAATTACCTCAGAGTTTGATCCTCGTTTCAGAAAGCGTGTTCCAGCAAATTTGCTTGATCTTCTGGCTATCAGAGTGACATATATAGGGCGACCATATATTAACAGTTCTTGAAAGAGAAGTTAAGGTTTAAGTGCCTCGTGAAATTTCTTGTTCACTTACTTTATGCAAGCAAAAATAAATTCTAACAAAGGTGTATGAAACTGAAATATCTAATTTACTAAAATCACCTTAACAGTGATGAGTATCACTTGCAAATTTATTTTGCAGCTGGGAGAGAACATTGCCCTTTTCAACAGTCAGTTTTAAGAACTTTGACAGGGGAATCTACATTACAATACATCAAACACTTTTCACAACATACAGATGAGAAGACACATTTCTATTTTATGAAGTGATAATGATGGTGAAATAGGTACAAGATACACTTAGCACTGCAAATGCTGCTTTTGTGAATACTGGGTTTAAAGTTTGGGAGTTTCTATTTTCAGATTAAGTATATTAGTCACCCTCTAATGTCTCGTGTGGAAAAACAGATAAATTCACAACTGGTTAAATAACAACAGCTGGAAGCCAGAGGCAAACAGGCTACAGACGCAGTGGTCGATTTTTATAGGCTTTTTTTATATTTTACTAAAGACAAACGGATAGAATCAGATGCCTAGGGTGACTATTGCTGCTTCCTTAGCATAAGAGAGATGCAAGGAAGAGGAAAGAAGACATTTGCTCACACATTAAGCAGCTGCAGGCATTATGATGCTGTGGTCAGATCCACAGCTACTACTTTGTTAAGTCAGACCACAAATGAAATAGCAACATATAAAAACAGATCTAACTTTCTGTCTGGGGACTAAGCCAATGACCAATGGCCTTAGAATTTTAAAAAAGCAAAATTAAATTTTGCAGACACCACTGAACTTAAATTCATAATTGTATTTCCTACCCCAGAAACTTTATTGACAGGTTTTTAAACTAACATGACACTGTTGATTAATAAATTAGAATGTCTTTGTAATACACTAAATTCTCATCACTTAAGATGTTGAGATGAAATTTCTTTGGACTGTGCCATACATTTGGGATTTTCTCCTTCTGCTACAATGTACATAGACCCATGTAACCATTTAAAATAATATATACTCAAGAAAAAGATTTTCAGATAACCTAGTGCTCTTCATGCAGCAGAGCTGAAGTTCTATTATCATCTTCAACAGAAACAGAGTAAATAAAAGTATTTCTGCAAATCTCCATTACTAAAAAATGTTTTAGAGAAGATTAGTAAGTGAACATTTCTATGTCAGCAACTCAGTTTTTCCTCAGACATCTGAAAAAATACAGCTGAGCCTTAAAATCCTCTCAAGCTCTTTACTGCTAAGCATCATGCTTATAAACAGAGCCTCACCGAAAACACAGTCTAGCTTTGTCAGGGCCTTGTTATAAGAGCATAATCACATTTCTTGTTTAGCACAATACCTAGAAAAGTACTGAAAATAAAAGCCAAACAATAATTCTAAAATTGAACAGTATTTATATGACAAAGAAATAATTCAGTGCTCAAACTTTCTTTAAAAAAATTAATAACCATTCATTGCAACAGTAAAAGGATACTTGATTGCCCACAGAATCCATGAATAATATACAGCAGCCAGTCACGATGAATAGTATTTCTTACTGCTTCCAGAAGCTTGCCATTCCAGACATACTTTTCGTAAGGCTTACTGCAAATCCCAAATACACCTAGGAGGTTGTTTCAATGAAAATGCATTAGCAATTAAGAAACAAGTTTACCTTCACTGGACTGTTTCAAAATCCAGGTCATTGGAACACTGTTTTGATTTTCCCTTGACTGTAACTCAGTGTATCATTTATTCACATCCCTGAAGTTTGCCAAAACCAGATAATTTAAAGCACATGCTCAAGTCCAGCATTTATGAGGATTTGCAGTTTTGCTGTAGTTGCCACCAGTCAGTGGCAACTGTAGTGGTTAAGTGCTTTCATACAGATGGTACTGAAAAGTACTGAACAGTACTGAAAAGAAATCTCTTCACAGTAGCACCAAAGGATTTGATAACAAGGGAAATAAAGTCGTGAATTCCAGTTAATGCTCTTACAGGAGGACTTCACAAGCTTTTCAATTCTGGGTCACCTCTGAAGTTACCCACTAGGTTCTGGAAGCTCACACATAACACTATCCCCCTTTACAAAAAGCACATCAATCCGTTTCACATAATTTAGTGTGGTTTTCCTAATTTGCACTAACAGCAAGAAACACAGCTGTTGTAGACCTGCAAATTAAAATTCCATTTTTGATAAATTGGGAACCTGAGTCTTTTTCAAAAATCAGGACCAAGACTACAACTGTCACTGAACGGTGGTAGAGGGAATTGAATGAAATCTGAAACTTAGAAGAAAAAGGACAAGAACTCTTTTCCTATATTTTTTGCGTACTTTTTTCAAATGAAACTTCTAGCAGGAGGAATTATATTGCTGCAGTATGTATGTCAATTATAGCAGACAATTACAGCAGTCAAATGTTCTTCTGCAGGAAAAAGAGGAATTCTCCTACTAGAATGCAGGTGAAAAGGCAGCTGTTGAACAAACTGTTGCTACCTAGTCACACAATTTACCATAAGCCCAGGGAAAATGGATGTAACCAAAATATTTTGATGAAAGGGTTTAGGCATTCAGCAGAACCTGGTCACAAGTGCTTAGTCAGCAATTTGTCCTCTTCCTTATTGCTATCAGCATTACTTTGGGGAGAATTTGTTCTTAAAGGACAGGTCACTGTTTCTTACACATATTCTATGAACAGATATGGGACTAGCACACACTGCTGATGGCATCATCACCCCTATTTCCTAATGTTTTCACAAAGACATAGAAGAGACAATGCATTTGTAGGGATTGCTGCAGAATTTTGCAGATAAGAGTCTTTGCAGTGGAGGAATTATTGCTCCTTTCACTCCTTATGGTCCTTTCTGACACTGGAGTATTTGATAACCAACTCCTGATATCTTGATATATCTGGGGGGGTTCCATTCAACAGAATAAAATCCAATGTTAAGAATTTCAGGGGAAACTTCGTGTGTGTGTGTACAAAGGAAAAGGAAGAGAAAATAGTTTTTCTGTCTGGTTGCTTATCTTTGCACTCTTATGAATATGTTAGATCAAACTGAAGTCTGTAGTTTTCAACTGAAATCAATAATTTCCCTCAGACTTCCTGACAGGGGTTACTACATCAAGATGATACTAACTTCACACAGTTTCTCTGTTGCCAGTATTCTCCAACATGAAAAAAAGAGATTTATTAGTACTAATCAGTTATTGCTTCCCCCTCTCTTTGTAACTCATTCCTACTGGGAGACTTACAAGTCAGTTGAGTAATCTATTGCTGAAAAATGTCAGCATGCTCAATCATCTCCCTGAGTTGCAACGTAACTTAAAACAACTATTACATAACTCCAGAAATTGCATTACTCAAACTAAAATGTCCATAATTGGTACTTTACGAAATATTTTATTACTTCACTGATAGGAAACTACTGACCAACAACCAAAGGCCTGAATGTTCCTCAAAAGTAAACTTAAGTGGAACATATTTTAAATGTACTCTTGAGCAGCAATATCAGTTTAATTAGATGTATTTTCTTACCACTTCCCCCCTGTGTTGAAAGTCCTTCATCTTCAAATATATCAAAACTCTCTTGCCGGGTCTGGGTTGTTTCAGTTTTTAATGTCTCAAGTGGCATTCTCAGGATAGTAAGATTATACTGAAGGGAGTGAGATAGATCATAGCTGTAACTGATAGACAGTTAACATTTATTAGTAATTGTAGATGCAGAGGAATTTTCTGAAAACCCTTACTCTCCATCTGTATTTACATTTAAAAACGTACTACTCTACCCATTAGAAAAGACTTCTAAACAAGATACAGATTCTGATTCTATAACGGCAAATGATACAAACGATTTCCAAAAGAAGCTTTACAAACACAGCAACTCTTTCCAGTTTACAAAGGCTGAAAATGTGTTTATATTCTTCTTGTAACTGAAAACTAAACATGACTTTTAAACAAAGCATATCAAGAAACTTATGTCCAAGAAACAGTCCAGAAGATCAAAAATAGCTGTTCCACCAGAACTATTCATATACATTGACAACCTAATTTTTCTGAGATTTAAGTACTACTACTTTCTAACTGCTACCTGAACTCAAAATACCGAAAAACTTGGTCCACAAAAACCGTATCTGTCCTCAAATTTGTGACTGCAGCACAGAGACATCTTAAGACAGTGGTTGCGGAATAAAGAAAAGGGGTTTTTTTAGTTAGTTCCATAACTAGTTACAAATTTTGCATCTCATGTCTTTTATACTAACACTCTATACTAATTGCTAAATTTTGTAAGCTACTAGGCTTCTTCCCAAAGAGAAACCAAATGTACACTACACTTAAATCACATATACTCAGATTTCCATTTCAGTCTAAGACAGCATCAGTGATTACCGGTCCTCCTCTAAGTTCTAGATATTTATGAAAGATCTACAAAATTATTTAAACATCAGACATTTAGATTTATTACTAATGATAAAGTATCTGCCACATTTCCATAATAATGACCTGACATGCCTATCTATTAGGAAAAAAAAGCCTGTAACATGCTCTGTTTGTGTATAACAGAATCTTTAAATAGTATCCTAGTATGAGACACATTCAGGCTGTTCTCCCACTTTCCTTTAGACCAAATGTTTTCTTATAACTGACTTCTAATTTTCTTCAGGATTTATAGGAAAAATAATGCAGAAAAATACATTATGCTTTCAGCCAAGAACAATTTAAATGAAGCTGATAAATTAAAAAGATTCTAAACAATAAAAAAGAATATTGGTATCATCCTACGCTTTTCCTTTTCAAAGTGAAAATCAATCTAAATAATCTGTAGTTAAATCACAGAACACAAAAAACTTTTAGAAAAATACTCTTTTAATGAAAAATAAAACATAAACAGTTAATTATCTGCCAGTAGGAAAGTTTTCATTTTATGCCACTCATGTTTGATTTGTGCCAAAAACATACTTTTGTACAAGTCATTCACTTACTCATTTTTTTCTGTAAAAGAAACTTTAAATATGTAGTTTATCTTAATTCTACAGTTTCAGCCTGAAGAAGAGAAAGTTTCAGGAAGATCTCATTATGGTCTTCCAGTACTTAAAGGTGGCTTATAAATAAGAGGGAGAGCAAAGTTTTGCATGGGCCGATAGTGATCAGACAAGGGGGAACAGTTTTAAACTAAAACGGGAGAGATTTAGATTAGATGTCAGGAAGAAATTCTGTACAGTGAGTGTAGTGAGGCACTGGAATAGTTTTCCCAGAGCAGCTGTGGATGCTTCATCCTTGGAAGTGTTCAAAGCTAAGTTGGACAGGGCTCTGAGCAACTTGGTCTAGCTGACGGTGTCCATGCCAATGGCAGGGGATTGGAACTAGATGATCTTTAAGGTCCCTTCCAACCCAAACCATTTCATGATTCATTTTATGGTAAAAATGTTTCTTAGAGTCATATAAGAATCTTCTCCTTCCCCCTCTACGAACAACCACAGAAACAGCACAAATTTGTCATCTCCAAGCACAGGGAGTGGGCTGGGGGGGAAGTTATATAATGCTAGGGCTGGGAGACAAAGCATGGAAGAAAAATTCAGATTTTATACTGTGAAAGAGCTTTCCCCTGCAAAAGCATGAAACACATATAAAGCTTTGGTAGGTTTTGTCTTCATAGATCCAGCTGTGACAAAAATTTCATTTTCCATTTCTAGACTAATACACTTTTTGATATTTGCAAGAGGGATTTGTTTTGTTTATTTTTTTAAGGTCTTTGAGTCTTCTAACTACTACTGCCAGGTTTATCCCCACATTTCGCCCATTTTTTTGCTGTCCCAAACATCTCATGTAATAGTAGCTGGGACACAGAAATTTGTCTTAGGTATGGCATTTATGGAAAAATAAGCAAGAGAAGGCCCTATGAAAGACATACCCCACACAGGGTATCTTAAATGAGGATCTATTTCCTCTATCTTCATTTCTGAATCTGGGCAAAGCTTTATTTTTGGAAAATGAGATCAAGAAAGAAAAAATGACAGGACGAGCAAACCCTCTGAAATATAATAATTTTCTAAGACAGAACTTCTGCATATCCTGGCAAGCCTGAACAGCCAGCAAAAACAGTAGTGTCAGTGTCTACTTTTTACTAAGCCATTAATAGTCCTATTTTTTTTAACCTAATAGAAACTAAAATCCTAACTAATTGGTTGAAGGAGAAAGCAGGTTCAAAACACACAGACGAAAATGGACAAGCAACGTGATCGTATGTCTTATTTCCCCAGAATATCAACCTAAAGATCTTGGGTATCAAAATCAAAACCTATAATCTTACAGCAAGTACACATTTTTTTAGAGGAAGAGTAACTAATACCTACCTAAAATAGAAGTTGCTAGAAAGGTCCACATTTTGAAAGATTCTCAAATACCTAGCAAAATAATTAAAGTTATAGGAAAAAATTGTTAGTATAACAAGACAGACCACAAGAAGTCATTCAGAAGATCTCAGAAATTAAACTACATATAAATATTGACTCTTGCCCTATGTTCCCTTCCTATCTTACTGTAATTATTTTGACAGGTAATTGCACTAGAATGTCAGCATCTGGATTAAACAAATCAAATAGCCTTTTGGGTTTTTTTTTTTTTAAATCTCCTGTCTTCTCATGGATATACTGTTTCTCTAGGCAGTTGTAGATAAAGTCATAGTTCTATTTTCCACAATTTTTCAGGACTTAAACAAACAAACTCTTAGCAATACTATACAAGAAATAAAATTTTTCAGTTATTCACAAATAAATAAGAAAAAAAATCTACCTCAACCTGACATAGCCTTGCAAATTCCCATAAGAAACTATAACACTGTCTATGAATAAAATGATAAAATGGCTGACATAAACATGTAGGTTATGATCCACTGCACGATAAGAGGGGAGACTGAGGTATACGATCAATCTGACCTTAAAGTGGAAGCTTTTTTAATATTTACCATCAGCTTATCATAAGCCATCACTTTTTGACTATTCATACTTGGTACAGACTGAAAAGCAGTTTATTGGTACCAGTTGCCTAGTATTTCATACCAGTAAAGTTACCTTAACCTGATAAAAACACCACTATGACATAGTTGTGCATTTCAGACAAGGTTCCCTGCTGACCAAAGGCTCAAATTTCTGTCTTCAGAAGAAAAGCACCCAAAAAGAAAGAAGCAGTTAAATTTACCAGTGAGTCAATTCATCACTCTTTACAACAGCAACATTCACAAGATTCTGACAGCACAGAATCATTTAATGATCTATTCAGCACTTTTCGAAGGGCACAAAAGATCTCTTCAGGTGAGATTAACATCATGCTAGAGCTACTAAAAAAAGAACAGTGTCCCAAACAATACAAACCAGCATAAGTATTACTTTGCCCTTGTAGGAACATTGCTGATATGTGATGCTTCCCGATGCAGATTTGTTAAGCTGTAGCTCTGACATGTAGAGACACGGAGATGTGGGCAAAAAGCTCTAGAAGACTGTAACAGTTGTATTTACACTCCATATTAGAGGTCACAGGACTTGTAGCCTGTTTTCCATCCAAGTAAGATAAAAAGGCTTGAATAACATACTAACATAATGAAATTTCTAGTTGCAGTTATACATTACTTAGAAAATATTCAAAAAGTACACACCGATTACCAGCATTATTTACCTGGCCTCATCAGGATGAGTGACTCTTACAGAGTCGTTTGGAATATAGATCATATTTGTATCTTCTATTTTATATATTGCATGACCTCCAATATCTGCCATTTTTCTTCTTTTTGTTATCAACACGATGTAGTAGCCTTCTAAAAAACGGACAAAACCTGTCAAAACAGCATTAAAATGCTTTTAGTTGCATGTTTGGGTTGATTTGATAAAACATATTTAGAAAAACAGTACCAGAATTGTTTCAAGGCTTCATATAATTTTTGTTCTTAATGTTCTGAGTATAATGTGCATATATACATACACATACAACAATATACATATATAAAGACAGAGAGTCTTAAAATTCACCCCTACTAAGTGTTAATCAGTGAAGTACATAGTTTTTGCTTATTTTCCTTTCACTGTGCATATTTTTAATATTAGGTAGTTAAGACACTGAAAATCTGAATTAAATTTCTGTCTACTTAGAGTACTTGTATTTGCTTTTTATAGGACTCTCATTGTTCAGAGTGAGGCATACTCTAATAACTTCAGATATCAAAAGGTTAATTTTCCAGGGCAAGGAGGAATCTCAATCTCCAATACAGTTTTATGTATTCTCTGCTGGGGAGGGACAGAGAACAGCAAAGGGAATTGTGGGTATTACAACACCTTTGTGCTCTCTCTTCTTAACAGGGAGTTTAGTTCCCTGATTAAAGCAGCATCTCCCCAGAATCAGCCACTCAGAGCATCGGGGGTAATCCTTTTTTCCTATTTCCTCTCTCAGATACCACACCTGACCTTGCTGAAGTCCATGATGGGGAAACATGACACACAGAGACACTCACAATTCACATTTTTACTTGCATTTACATTCACTTCTTTTAGCTCTTTTAGCTTTGCATTACAAAGTAAAGAAGAAGGACCAGCAGAGCACACATTTTCCTCCCTGTCACTGCTGGAGACTGCAATGTGATTGAGTGAACTGCGATCTTTTCTTCTACCTTATTAGCCCCCCTTGGAAAAATGCTCTCACCTGCACAAGGACAGGAGGCCCTGCTGACAGTAAGAAACAAATCTTCCATTTGAAGCAGCCAGACTATTGAATTTCAGTTGTTTCATAGTAGTCACAGTTCTGCCTGTATCCTCCAGGTACCAAAATCACTTCTGTGAACAGACTCTATCCTTTTAATTTCACCAAACATTATACCAAAGTCTGATAAGGAACCCTGCCTTTCTCCTTGGCCTGGTTTCCTCCCTTTAAAAGCAATTTCTACTATTAAACACTACACAGTAAGCAGAACTCAGCCTATCAGCACCCCCATTCTGAGTGCACTGCATGTACTGCATCTGGTTAACAAAATAACTACAGAACAGAACAGAACAAAGCTGTCCTTTACAATTTTACAAAAAATAGCCCTGTTTTCCTGACCTGAGCCGAGAAGCAGAAATAAACAGCCAGTTGCATTCTCTCAAATTACATGTTTATACAGATATGATTAGATAGAATCTAGACTGGAAGACATCTAAACCATATACTTTGGAAGTATATATAATCTGATACAGAGCGTGTTACTTCCAAAAAGTCATCTAGAAATACATATGCCATATCTGCTGGTCAATACATTTGTCCAGCTACAGAACAGAAACTCTCCTGTTATGAAGAGTACATATAAACATTCAAACAATTGGGATGCAAAATTTTAATTCATCACAACCAGTTTCCAACTGAATATATTATCACGTATTTAGACAGTGAGCGCTGATGGTTTGTCCAAAAAAACCCCAATGCTGAAAGACTGCTAGCAGCTTCCTTAGGTTTACCCACATTATGAATACTTTTAAATTAATAAGGCCCCATCTGAGGAATTTCTGAAAAGTGGATGCATTGATAAATTCCAAAATGCTTCATAGGCAAAGAGAATACAGAAGAAAGTCTGTTTATTTTGCCACTTTAGATTGGAATAAAATTTTATTATGTTTTGATTGCTAAGCAAAATTCAGGAGCATCTTTTAGAGTTATTGCATTCTCCAGCTTCTCTGCAGCTTCAGATTTAGACGTTCAGGTATATATTGACTTTAATAAACCACAAAGTACTCTTGAGGCCTGCCACAGCACACATTAACATTTACTTTAGAGACATCACCCATCAATATATCGACCTCAGTATCAGACAACAGGCAGGAAAGTAGTGACTTTCAGATGAAGTTAGAAGCTATTAAATCCTTGAAGCAATGCTTCAGGATTATGGACAGCTGAGCAGCATTATAAAATTCAGTTGACATGCCAGTCAGCTACACTTGTTCAAAGGTGAAAAAGAAATCTTTATATATGTCACTGCAAAAAGTTCACCAAAAAGAAAATTAAGTCTTCTTTCTGAATAGGGTCTGATAAAGAAATACAGCTTAATAAAGACTGCCAACTTCCATTTTCTTTTTTAAAAGCATTCTGTGAGCTCTGGAATTCAGGAACCAGGTTCCACCTGGTTTGCATAATTTGTATTCTAAGATAAGCTGAGTTTGGTGAGATCAATCAAGTTTCTAGAGTTTGGCTATTTCCTAGATCTCTCCCCTTGTTACAAAGAGACTGGTTACAGCACAACTCTCACCGCTGTATTGGCCACGATTTCCACAAAATGCAGAGAAACTTAATTATCTCTGAGCATGAAAAATTTCTAAATCCTCTTCAGTTTTAAAAATAAATAAAATCAAGAGGAAACGGAAAGATATGCAGTGTGACACAGTAAGCCTCACCTCCCAAGAAAATAAAAGATTTTATAAAATCAATCAAAACACTTACCTACTATACCAAAAGCAGAGACAGCTCGAGATAACCCAGAAGAGCCCTTCTGCCCAATCTTTGTTCTGTTTCCCAGGTCTAAACGTCCAAGAAGTTCCCTCACCTCTTGTTGTGTATACACATGCTTTAAAATAAAAAGTCACTTAAGTTACTGCTTTGGTAGTTAAATGTTATTTCATGTCAGAGACCAGCAGAAATTACTTCATATACAATAAACCAGACGCCTCCCCTACATCGTCTCTTTCCTGTTTCACTGCTACCAACAAATAGCCAGTGTTATTTGGAATAAGTGAACCAACACAACAATATAAATACACTCACCTTATCGTCAATTATAACCAAATCCTTTGGTTCAGTGCGATCTATTTTCAAAACACGGTACTTGGTTTCCGCAGGATTACTTCCAACTAGAAAATACCGCTATGTAAAAAAAGAAAAAAATGTCAGAATACTGTGGAAGATCAAGCAACCAGAGCCCAGTGTGATGCAAGCCTAGATCCATGCCACCTAACAAATATGTAATAGTCTGTACGGACTCTTAATAAACTGGTTTAGTCACCATACCTTAGGTAGGTACATTTATATACAATTAGCCTTTACAACTTAAAAGACCTCTGAAATCCTTTGTACAAGGAAGGAAAAAAATTAGAAATTGAAGAAAGGTGAAAACCTGTTTAGAGAGGTAAAGATATAACTTACACGAGGCACTGTCCAACTGTACCCTGCCCCACCCATTTCTGTCTTCCCACTTGCTTTGTAAAATTTAGCAGAAGCTTATATATGAGTTTTGTAACTTTTCATGATCTAAAACTAGTGTTACTATACTGTATTGCACTGCTATTTCTGACAACTAGTCTTTCCTGATCCATACTAAACCCAGAAAAATTTTAAGCACTTCAGTACTGCAAGTTTTCTTCAATTTTTATTCATATTTGCTATGATAAGACTTCTCATTAATGTTCCTCCACAGAACACAAATTTGCTGGTTAACAATACTACTGTTTAAAAAAATACTAGCTTTACTTCACATTTAAAATATGAAAGACCACAGATAAACATATAATATGTCCATTTCTCATATAAGTGAATCAAACCATAAATTAATTTTTACATTTAGAGGAATAAACACGCACAGGTTGTAGGACTGACTTGCTAAAAGCAGATCTCATTTAAATAATTCATTTAATCAGTGTGGTGCTACCACACAGCAAGGTGTAACTCATTAACAATGCTTAGCCTAGTAGGAAAGCATGGCAAATTCATGTGGATCTGTACAGTCAGCTCTTAACTTTAGAAGTCACATGGACTTAAGATGTGAGAGAGGAAATCAATAATATTCATAGAAACCTCACGATTTCATAATTTGTACAATTAGAAGCAAAGAAACATCTTTAAATTCAAAATACTTAAGATGAAAGAAGAATTTAAAGCCCTCTTCAGCTTCCCAGAATTCACAAAAGCATCTAGATAGTCAGTAAGTTCTAAAAAAGACAATAAAATACTTAACTTTGAAAGCCATAAAAGGAAACAGCATCAACTTCTGGCTCCACCTAGTACACTGACATTACAGTGCTTACTAAGTGATAGTAATGATAGTAAGAAGGCCCTTCAAAGTCATATTCCATCAGAGTACTCCATCACTGAAGTGTCTGAGACAGCACTTTGGCACAGGAAAACGTTTCCTACAGGTTTTTAGCAGTGAAGTGCTGCTGTGCACAGCCAGGCTCTCCAGCCTGTCCCCTCAGAGTAGCCTCCGCAGGAGATCCCTTAGTGCCAAGGTTTGTGCTTCCCAGGAGAGGAATCATAACGGCAGTGCGTGCCACTAAATGACACAAAGGTGGAGGATGGAGCTCTTCCGCTGTTATCACCCACCGGCAAGAACACCAAGACAGACGCTTCCTTTGACTGTGCCATCATACCACCTTTTTCTTCATGCAGCAGAAGGTGAATGGGCAGAGAGAAATATTTTCATCTGTAATACACATGGTAGGTTACCTTGCGTTTTAAGAGTGCTGCTTCTTTATTTTTAGAAAACTCCTAATTGATTAAAGCTAAACAATTTTAAGTAGTCCACAATACTGCAACACAGCTCAGTGATGTCCCACCATGCCCAGATTGTTAAATGAGCGCAATTTCTTCACAGAGTCACACCTATGGTTACCAACAAATAATCCTGAATAAAAACAGAATTGTACAACTTTAAGATGCTTGCTCAAACAGCTGTTTGTACCAAAGACCACATTTAAAACTGGAACACGGCATATGACACACAGGAAGAGAGAGAGAGAGATGCACAGAGGGTTGCAAATGCTATTACTAAGGAAGTTCATTTTAAGTTTCCATTTTAATTAACCATAAAACATAGAGAAGTGCTATGAGGAATGCATCACTTGCATCACCTTAGCAGCTGCTGTAGTGGGTTATGCACAGCTGCAGGGCCAGCTTTAGGCACTGCTGCAGCTCCTGCTTGGAACCACAGCAGAGTGAGATTAGAGGAGTAATTGTATCTGCAGACCATGGAAGCAGAAACACCATAATGAACAGTACTTAACAGGCTCTCTTTGAAGTCCTTTAAGGACTAATTTACGGGTTTTAAGTTAGCTAGGCTGTGCAATGTATTAAGGAAGGTCAGTTGAGAACAGCCTCAAAACTGAGCGTCAATGGACTTAAAGTAAGCCAGGCAATGGGAAATCTCTATTTGGCTAATGGGAATCTTATCCACTGCGTGTTAGAGGATCTTCTTGTGGAAGTAATAAAGAAGTAGTAAAGTAATCTGCAAAAACTTTTGAATTTGGACTAGTGCTCAAAACTAAGAACCCAAAATTAGACTTCTATCTGGGAAATTTTCAGGACTGGCTGAAACAAACCCCATAATTACTTGAAAAACAGCATGATATGCCAACTCACATTCAATTTATAAGATCTGAAAGGAAAACAAAGATTGCATGAAAACTAACAATGCAAAAAAATATACAAAAAAGACAATTCAACATTAGCTGTTTCTGCTACCTAATTTATGCATCTAATGAATAAATAAGTCTGTCTTAGTGGATGACACGGAGCACAAATAAAACCATATCAGTGACATCTTCCACAGTTAAATTTACCATCACATGAATACTTGGAAAGTATAATGACAAATACCAAATCAACACTGAGAATGTAACATAACATAAATTAATTTCTGAGGTTGTAATATAATCGTAAAATTAATCAAAGCTAAAATGTGCTTATTGTTTACAATTCTTTTGATTAATAGAAATGATTGCAGCAAAAAAAAAAAAAAGAGAATCCACAGGTAAGCTACAGAAACCTTTCTGGGAGTTTCTATCCTTATTATCTCATTCTGTTTCTTACTAAGTTGAACTGAAAAAATTTAAGCATTTTCCAACTGTCTCAAGCAACTCCACAACAAAGCCAGTGCATTTAGATAAATGGACAACCTTGACCAAACAAAGTACTTTCTCCAGAGAACAGTACACAAGAAGAAACTGTGCAGGCTCCTTCATACTGCTCTGGCCAGAGCCCTTCAACCATCACCTGAGGTGACACATGCTGCTTCCAGGTTTAGTCTGCCCTTGGCCTTGGCTGAAACTTGTTAACAAGTGCACTTTACCAACCAGGGCAGTGCACCATGCAGCTACAAGAGTGGAATGAAGCTTAATATATTGCACAATTATCACTAAGCAACCACAAGACAGGAATAATCATCAGTCGCTTCCACCTGGGACTGAGCTTTAACCAAAGCAATCTAATTGAAAGGCTTTACACCCTCTTTTATCAATCTTTTGATTCAGCCAAACCAAACAGAACATCTTCTAAAAGGAGCCTAAACAAAATAAAAAACTTCTTTCTGCAAATTGTTGTTTTTAATGACAAGATAATAGTTCTAAAATCAAACAATCTACTCACAATTTTTTAATGTATTTTTTTTCCTTTAAGATTACTTCTTATAACTCTGGTCTAAAAATATGATTTGCTTCTTTGTATAGACTAATTAGCATTGAGGAATGTTAGCACTGAAAAAAACTTCTTTCACCCCTTGGTTAAAAAGCTACAAACAGCTTAATCAGCAAGAAAAAAAAGTAAAAATACACTAAAAGTTACTTGAAAAGTGCACTACCACAGCCAGTTTTAAATCTGCAAGGAGCATAAAGAAAACACTTAAAATCTTAAACAAAATGCTTGCAAAAGATAACTGTTAGCACCATGGATATGTCTGAAAACACAAAGCCCTGAAGAAGTGTGGTGCATTGACCTTGGCCAGCTGCCAGACCTCCATCCAGGCACTCTCTTGCTCTCCCTCCTCAAGTGGACAAGCACAGAAAAATATGATGAAAAAGCTGATGGGTCAAGGTGAGGAGAGAAAGATTGCCTAAGATTAACCATTACACGTAGAACAGACTTGACCTGGGGAAAATGTATGTAATTTATTGACAATTAAAATAGAATCATAGAATAATTACACCTTGATGTAAGATACAGCAAGAACTCCACTATGTTCTTTCTTTCTACAGAACCTACAGCAATTCAGGAAGTGTTGGCCTTTCACCTCCCATAGAAACTGGCAGAATGACATGAAGAAAGGAAGATGCGATAAGAGGCAAAGAGAGATACCTGAAAAAAAGCAAAAACTGAATTGGCATGCCATCTGCTTCCTGTAATCTTTTGAAACTCTTCAAAAGAAGCTCTTTCAACATGAGATATTTTAAGGATATATGCTGCCAAGCACTACTCTCAGGGCATGCAATAATAGGTACCCATTCTGAATCCTACAGCAGCAGCACTCAGTGAATCCCTTTTGTCCTAAGGCAATCAATGCTTTTTTTCCCCAAAAAGGACTTTGCTCTTGCTGTTCCACTGAAGGATTCCTCAAGATTACCCCTTCTAATTTTCAGGTAAATCTATTAATTATCAATCTATACATTTTCCTTTAGCCAAATACTTCTTTGCGCATTAGCACCTATCCTGCCAGAATGCTTTCAGAAACCTAAATATCTGAGTGCCTTTTCAGCACTCACTTCATTAGACTAAAGAAATCTTGCTGTCCCTTTGCTCTTCCTCATCACTAGCATATATGTTACCTCACTGGACCTTCAATGGACCTGTTCTGATTGAAATCTTATTTCTTAAATGAACATGAACAGTAAGTCTACACCATACAAAGTTTCATTCTAGAGATACATTAGTATTTTTCATTAATGACCATACCACAAAAGACCATATTTGCCTTTTTCAAAATTTTACTTCATCTGCAGCTCAACCTCCCAACCCTTCTTCAGATAAAACACCCAGATCCTCCTCCTCCCTTTCTGCTGCTTCTGAACTGATAAACTCTCCATAAACTTTTATTGGTGTGTAATCTATCCTAAGGTGCATAAAGTTTCATAGTATGTCATCCTATTTCAAATTATTATCTA